CAAAGAGACATAGGATCTAAAACCGTTATTTCGATGAGGCACATTTTTTCCGTATCAAATGCTATATACCCTCTCTCTAGCCATATGGCTGAGGGTATGAAGAATTGAAAAATGCATATCATAACCTCCCTCTCTCCTTCGAACTCCGATTGATCTCATATTAGAAAATTCTAATTATTTTTGAAAAAAAAAAAAAAACATTTTAAAATTGTTGATATATCAAAGCTTCCAAGCATTGATACATCTACCTGTATTCTTCTACAATTTGACAACCTATGGCTAAGTTCAATGATGTTTACCCCACTTTAATACATTTGTGTGAGAAATGTGTGCAGGAAGCACCGTTTTGCTGAGACAACAGCTTTCATATTTCCTGTCAAACAACCTTGAACAACTCAATGACTCTCAAAACATGTCCGATATTGCTTTAGTGATTCACACTAATAAACTTAATTCCAATGTATAATAAAATGTTTTATCAAAAAAAAATATATATACTCTATGCACTTACCTTAGATAATTTTTAGAATGGGTTGATTGGTTTCCCGTCGTTTTTCTATTGTTGCCATATTTTGCATTTTGCTTTGATGAGCCAGTGCTGCTGCCAATGTTGTTGTTGTTAACGGAAGAAGACAAAATACTGGCCAAAGAAGAGGAACGTGATAATGAGACGTTCGATTGAGTATTACAAGTTGTTGCAGCAGCCGACGACGATGATGATGGGGCAGATGGTATTGGCGAGGTCGATGAAGAAGAGGGAAAGAAGAGTTTGTTTAGCAAGGCCATGCTATTTTAGGGTGTAAGTGTTTGTGTTGCGGCGTGAAGGGATAACAGATGTTTTTTCTCTTTTTTTTTTTTTGGCAAAGTTGGTTGGCCTCAAAGTAAACGCACACTCACGCACTCACATAGAAAACGGTTAAGTTATGTTTTCTTTCTTTTCTCTCACAAATTTTTTGTTTAATGTCTGGGGAAATTTCATAACGGGATTTTCATTTGTTCTTTCTTGTTTTCTTCACAAGAAAATAAAAAAAGAGACCAACGGGCGGAATGTTTGAACAAAAATAAAAGCCGACATACATTCACAACCGTTAAAGTGTTAATATAAACAAACAACACCATTTCACTTTTAACCCATTATGCTGCTGCCGCGCGTTGTTGACGTTGATGTTGATGACCGAACGACCGACAAGATGATGAGGCGGAGAAGGAGAATAGATACAACAAAATTTCTCTTGTTTATTTTCACACACTAGAGACTGCAGCACAAAAACCACCACCACAACAGCAATAACAACAACACTTTGATAATTGCGTTTCTCTGTTGCTGTTTTTCTTTCTCACCACAAGCAGTAGCACACACATGAATTGATTATTTTTTCTTTGTTTCATTTTCCTCTATCAATACTTAATTTTACTTTGGCTGCATATTGTCGTCGTCGCATTCATAATTCTTTTTTATTTTGTTTTGTTTTCTTGAAAGATTTCATTTCTTTGTAGAACATTCGAAAAGAGAGACCTTTGACTTTTTTTGCGGATACAAAAATACTATTTTGAAATACGATTTATTGTTGTTGTTGGTGTTATTTTATGTTTTTCCTTTTATTTATCCAATAATGCACTTTTCTCACTTTTTATTAGATTGACTATTTTCCAACAAATTTTAGCACAAAAGAAAGCTTACAACAATACTGAAATGCCATTTCAAAAAGAAGAAGAAAAACATGACAAGAAAATAACACACATGTCTTAATCAAGTGAAAACTCACGGATCACTGAATGATGGCATATGTTTGGCTCATTTCACATTCGATTGTGTTGTTTGAAAGGGTTGCCAGCTCCTTGCAAAAAATACAAAAAAAAAAAAAACAAAATTGTATTTAAAGAGAATATAAATAAAAATTCACTCTACATTGGGAACATTTTTATACATGGAAATGTGTATAGGTTGATATATAACTTATATTTATTTCAATTTTGTTCAAGCTAATTTCAGTAACATTCACTATACACCATTTTTAATGAGCACCCACAAAATAACCGCAAAATTCACGAGTTAACTTGGCAACCCTAACTACTCTCAACAATCTAAAAATTTTTTGTTTGTGTTTGTATTATATTAGGTGTGTCTGGTTACTTTCCCTGCAGGAATTGTCCAGCAACATCTTTCTGAGAGAGTAAGGTAGTTTTATTCTCTTTTGCAAGGAAATTGCGAAAAGTAAACAGACGGTATTCCTGCACAAGCTTGCAACTAATCAGCTGATTTGTCAAAACAAACCAATTTGTCCCCCTTTAAAAGAATTAAACGAAAGGAACCACCACCAATTTCACAAGTTTTATAAATAAAAAGGAAATTGGCAATAAAATAAAAGTATGAGCAATAAAAGGAAGATAGATTTGATGTGTTCCGCGGAATCCTTTAAACCAGTTGCTAATGGCATTTGTCTAAAAATGTTGGAAATAGTCTTTTATTTTCTTATAACATATTAATATTTATGTTTTTCACATTTTGTAAAGTTGTTCTCCAAAAACAATTAGTCTTGTTAATTCCAAAACAATATTTTCAAATTAAAAGCACAAAAAGAAATAAGTAAACAATAGAAAACATCTGATTGAATGTCGATGAATGAGAAGAAGAAGAGTTGCAAGAGATTGCAGGAAGAAATTTTTCCAGCAAGAATTTGCAAACTCTCACTGAAAGAACTGTCAAAATTTCTCTCTCCAACCGCTCTCTTTTGCAGAACTTTTGGGTTAACAGACGACTTCCAGTAACAATTTGTAACAATTGTTACAAACTTTAAGGTAACCAGACATACCTATTTTTTGCCACAAGAGATTACCGCGCGCCGTAAACAATATTGTGTGGTGGTCATAGGCCAAACAATTTTTTTTATCAAACCAAAAGACGCTGCTTTATTCAATTATTTATTTACTCGATTTATTTCATTAAACTTGCTTGATGTTCGTCTGCTCCACTAATTCAATTATTAATATCTTCCATTTCCTTCTTGTTTATGTTTTTGCATGACGCAGTGCATATTTTTAGCTTTTTTACGTAAATCACGTGCTATTATGTTAATCACTTCTTTTCATCGACTTTTTTCACATCTTATTTTGCACAAAAAACCTCGAAATTACCAAAAAAAAAAACGATTGCAAAATTCACAGACTCCATACCACCAAACACGCCAAACGAAACTAGTTCACTGAATGGAACGCTGGGAATAGTTCCAACTGTTTCTTTCATTTGGTTCATTTTATTCTTCACAGTGAACGAATTTGCATTAGCCAAATATAAAATCGTTCCGTGAGTAAACGCGTTACCAACATACTGAATAAAATAAATCAAATCAGACATTTCTTGCCATTTGGTGTCAACAAAATCAAACGCCATAGTTTTTAAATTTTATTAAATGAAAGCACAAAATATCGGAAATAGCATCAACTTTTAGAATAAGTTTAGATTTGTTCGAGTTGGTCACCTTTGGGACGTATTATGGCCTTCAAACGGCAAATGAAATCGTCACACGCTGCCCGAATGTTGATCTGCGGTATTTTGGCTCATTCTCGGCGAAGCGCTTGCTTGAGGTGATCGACACTTTGGTACTTTTAAATGCCAACCTTGCTTTTCAAAATACTCCTGACACAATAGTCCAACAGATTGGTATCCGCAGATTTTGGTGGCGATTGTGTGCTGGAAATGAAGCGAGGAACCTCATTTTGTAAACATTCTTGGGTGGTGCGTGCTGAGTCCATGTGGAATGTCTTAGGTCTGCGCCCAAAATGTTTGCGTGCCCAAGGCTTAAATACACCCTCCAGAATATTTTCACGATAATATTCGGCATTTATTCAGATGCCACGGTCGATTAATACGAGCGGAAAGCGACCATCGGCTGTTATGGCGGCCTACACCATCACCATGGCCAGCGCTTGAGTTCTGGTGGACAACCGAAGGTGCACATTTCCAGCTACCTCTTTGGCAAGTAAACAGGATCATCCTTTTTTGTTTACAAACTGCTGGACAACGAATGTTTTTTCATCGGAGAAAACCGCTTTCGGCCAAGCGAAGCAACTCTTTAGTTTTTTAGTCTATTTTCTTTCTGTTGAGGTATAAGTTCTTGCACTTTTTGGAATTCCAATGGCTTTACCCCGAGCTCATTTTTCAATATTTGCCGAATGGAATATTGCGATATGTTCATCACACGAGCCATTTTTCGGCCACTGCGACGCGGATTTCGACCAAGTCGATTCTTTACTTTTCGAAACATTTTTGGCGATGTTGCTGTTTCTTCTATGGTACGAGACACAAAAGATTTATTCACATTTAAATGTCAGAGTGCTCTAACGATAGCCACTTGGGGTTTTCCAGTCGAATATAAAGATATCACAGCAGTTACTTTTTTTCTGGAACATTCTCACCATAATGATATTGTACGCTTGTAAACAATATAATGAGCTGTCAGTGAAATAATTTTAACAGTTGTCGGGCGAGTGGCTTGGAAATGACAGCAGTCTGAAGTTGGTTGCAGTTGTTTCATCTCACCTTGTATTTTGTGACATATCATAAAGGGATGCCAGAGCCGCATTCAAACCCTGCCGTCTTTTTTCCTTAAAATTTGACACTTATGTGCCTAGCCATGATGCCAAGCTGCTTATGTACCCTCACCTCAGGACTTTTTTCATCCCAAAACTCAAAAATATAATAACCCACAAATTTGAATTTTAATTCAATGGAATTAGAAACATTTTAAAATAAAAGCATACTTAGGTACATCATTTTATGCAAATCAACCCACATTGACATTATTTATTGCTTATGCCATGTTTACGTACGCTTCTTCACGAGTTTTATTAATCCCTTTCAATGTAAACAAAACCCACGAAACGTCTTTTTTATTCCGAGCGCTTTCGTGCAACACTTTTTTTGCGTACGTACGTTGACGCTTTTGTTCAGTTACGCCTTGAGCGCTCCTCGTTACAAATGGTGTTCTGTGCAAACACACGGTTGCCAACCCCACAAGCACTCAAATCAAAATTCATTGTCGTCAAAGAAATATATATCTTCAGCTGGAAATCTCTTGGTATCGTTTTTGGAAAGAAAGAATAAATGCCAAGGATTCGTTAATATCTAGAAAAGAACCTAACCTATAACCAGGACACAATCAAAACTCCTTGAACTAAATACTGTCTCTCTAGTGCATCAAAGTGGCCTTTGAATTATTTAATAAGCAATTATCCATGCAAGTGTGTCAGTGTGTGTGCGTGCCAGAAAATAAGTTTTTCTAATTTCAACCAAGAAAAAGAGAAGAAGATTCAAAGCATACGTTTGTTTAAGCCAAAATAAGAATTGAAAAGGGAGAATAATGTAAGTTCAAAAAACACGTTGATAATTTCGTGAATTTGTGAAATTTTGTTAAAATTTCTATTTACGCCATCCATTTTGTTGGTGGCTACTCATACGTTTTTTTGTTTTCTTTTGTTGCTTTATCATGCGAAGAGGAGGAATGTTTGCGTGTGTGTGAGTGTGCTGTGGGAAACAGAAAAAAATGAAGCATTCCTTGAAATGGAGACATCAAAACACAGTGTTATTTGGGAAAGAATTAGAGCGAGATAGATAGATTTGTTTTGGCTTGAGAATTCTGCCTTTCGTACGCGTCCTACCGAATAGTGAGTGAAGTAATTGAGTCCTACCAAGCCAACAGCAGCAGCATCAGCTAAGCAAGCCAATAAACAAAATGAAGTTTGTGTAAATTGGTTGTGTGTTGTTGTTGTTTTCGTCGTCCTTCAGCAAGCAGCTGTGTTTGTGTGTCTGTCCTACACCTGCCACCACCTGCTGCTGCTGCTGTTCAGGGATGCTATTTCATATGGTTTGGCAAATGTTTGTAGTTGTAGTGTTGGATTTTAATGGATGAATGATGGTTATAACATTTTAATGGCTTAAGTATTTGTGGCCGTCGTTGTTTCATTCGCAGCAGCTATTTTCCGAATAGGTACATATCTTGGCAGATTTGAAAAACATTGCGCTTTAGGATTGTGCCACACAAACGTCTCGGTAAATATTTAAGGAAAACTATTTGTTAGGCCTTTAGCTATATTTAAATTGTGGCTGTAATAATATTCCAGCATAGGTATACCAAAGAAGTTTCTTGTTTGAGCATCTCAAAGCATTTTAAGAATGAATCATTGCTTAAGAAGCTCTTTCTCTTTGAGTTGAATGTTAAAATTTCTTGTTGCTCCTTAATATTTAAAATAACATTTTGTTTAGAAAAGCACTAACTTTATTTTTTTTTTTTCTTCTTTTAGCTCACCCGTTTTGTTACCTAAAGAAATTCCACATACCACCGCTATATATTGCTGCTAGCATTGACATCTTCATCCAATTTGTGAGAATAATCGAAAATGGCCTGTGCAACACTCAAACGTACCCTGGACTGGGAATCTATAAATCAACGTCCAAACAAACGACGACGTTGTAATCCCTTTGGACAATCCGGCAGCACTGGTTCCCCATCACGTTCCTCAGCACATGATGGCCTACCCGGCTCCAATCCCCAATCGCCCAGCAGTCGTTTTGCCCGTGAACCGCAACCAAGTCCATTTGCCGAAGCAAATCTGTCGAAAATGTCGCCCGATAAAATGTCACAAAACATACGCGAAGAAATCAAAAGATTGCACAGACGTAAACAGCTGCCATTTTCATCAGCCGCCATCGAACGTATGCAAGATTCCGAATCGAGCGGTTCAGAAATGGGACCAGATAGCCCCCGACGTCCAGATAGCCCACCAAGTATTGTTCGCAATCCGGAAAAGGCATTATTTACATTTAAACAGGTGAGTATTGTTCGAAAGTAAAGGGAACTAAATATTGGGTATCTTAAATTTCTTCAGTGATTTTAGACTCCCGGTGGAGACAGTAGACAGGTGAAGTAGGAAAGTCTCCGGAAAATTTCTTAAAAATGATTTGTAATATATATTAATTTGGAAAAAGATGTATCATCCATCTTAAGATAACCTAAGAAAGTTCTATCCATTGAACATTTTTCATGCATAGAATATTGTGTTTCTCATAAAGGTCCGTAGACCTGCCACTACTAAGACGGGGAGGACCTATGGTAGAAATTCTATCAGTATAAAAACTATATAGGATATTCATTTAGTACAAAACTTATAAAATTTATTTTACAGATCCCAGAGAGGGTCCTGTATAATAGCATTTACAAAGGGTCCTATTCCATCTATTTTAAGAAGGCACATGGAATATATTTAGTGTACAGAAAAACTACGTTCTCTAGTGAAATTGAGGACCTGGAAGGTCCGAAATCGCACAAGAACGTCGATTGGGACCTGAACTTTTCTTAGACAGCCTCTTCTTGGAAATTTTTTAATTAGCGATGAAGTGTCTTTTTGAGTTCCTTCAATCCTGGAGAATGTGCCCGGTTCAGAGTGCGATGGCTGGGATAACCTGAAAGAATATACGCCTGTCTTGTCAGCAATTATTTTGTCTGCCCGACAGCACCTTAATCTTTTTATTATAGAGTAGATTGAAATTTCTGTAGAGCTCGCACGTATAGGTTAGGATAAAGCCCGTGTAGTTGTTGTTGTAGTAGTACATATGGATGTTTGTATTTTGTTAATCTGGTCCAAGCTACAGGTTTTGAAATTCGGCAACTTTAACGGCCTGTAGCCAGAGATCTTCTGGAGAGAGTTGGGTAGGTTTGGCTGTGCAATTAAAGTGGTGCAGCGTATTGTGCTGGACTGTATAACACGCCGGGCAGACGTCACGCACATTTTTAGTTCGTGCCCAATACGAATTGAGACGACTACACCATCCTGAACGTTATTGTGGTAAAAGTACCCTGGTTTGTCAAGGCAGCTGGAGTTCTTCAGCTGCAAAAGATGGGGGGGATGGACTCCAAAGACGGCATTCATCCTGTAAATGCTGAATGCCACTCAGACCTGCCCTCTTTAGATCGTGTATAACCTTTCTGACACGCCTGGGTGGGGGAGTTGTATCCTCCATATTATGGTTGGGATGACTCTCACGGTAACACCCAAGCACGTACTGCAAAGAAAGCATATGATTATGCTGACGTAAGGGAAGGTCTTTCGCCTCCTCATTTAGATGGTCCACTGTTGTCATGAGGAGGCACCCTGTCGCAGTTCTCAGCGCAGCATTCTGGCAGGTCTGGATGTGCTTCCACTGCGTATTCGCAGACCGCACTTGGCCGCATAGCTGATCACAGAACGACCTATCGTGTTACAAAAGGTCAACAAGGTTTCATTGTCCGCACCCCAAGTACTGCCGGCTAGCGCCTTGAGGACCTTGTTCCTACTAAGCAGATAGCTGTGGCTTTCGCGGACGACTTGGACATACGGTCGAACGCGACCCCCGTGTAGTTGCCTTCTTTGACAACCAGTCTATTGGGAGAGAACAGAAAAAAGAAGGATAGAAATTGATTGAAATTGAGTTGAATGGGTTCCAGGTCATTGAGCTTTTGCTCCCCATTAGGTTAAGTCTTCAAAAGTGCGATGGCTTCTGTGTTTTCCTCACCTTTACAGAGTCAGTAATATTTCACGTCGTTGCGACAATCTTAAGAAAATTTGGAGCAATCCTAAGATTATTAGCTTTTTTTTTGCAAAGTATGGCAACTCTGAAAACTTGATAAATTTCGTTCCCACTTACATCGCTACAATTTTTGTCTAATGTGGTAACTCTGAAAAGTGTATAAAGAATGAATTATGTTATGTTCCCACTGGCATGTAAAGCCTTTTATGCGACACAATTTGGAAGGCTAGAGGAACATTAAAATTTTATCCTTAAAAAGATGTTTGCATTGTCAATTTCTTTGATTAAGCCTCATTTAGTCGTGATTTAGTCTAGGTGAGTTTACTTGCGACAATTTTTATAAGTTCTCTTCTGAACTGACCACTTGCATGTGTACAGGGCAATTTGCCTTGAGAAATAATCCACGTCGTCACTTCCCCCGTGCGCTGAAGTGACCACATGATTAAGATTCGGTTTAGTGTTCTGAGTGTGTAGTGTAGGCAAAGTCTCCATATAGCGGAACTTTTAAATTTTAGTATAGTATAGACAATATGCCGAAAAAAACATTTTCACAAGAAGGTGAAGCGTATAAAAAGTTCGGTCCGTTTTTATACACTCCGGTACCTCCCGATATTCGGTATTTTCATGATTTTAGCGACAGTATTTATCGGAATTTGGTATTTGAATTTAGTATTCGCATGCTGGTCCACGTCTTCGTAAGCCTCCATATGACGGTACCTTCCAATACTCGGTATTTTTATGAATTGTGACATTTTTTACCGAAGTTATTTCAAATGTCCTATTTGAAGTTCATAATAGGTGCTACAGCCTATGACAAAAACTTTTGTATGCTGGTCCACATCTTCGTATAGCCCCCATATGACGGTACTTCCCGATATTCGGTATTTTCATGATTTTATTTCAAATTTGGTATTTGAAGTTCATAATGGGTACTACAGCATATGGCAAAACATTTCGTAAGCAGGACCTCGTCTTCGTATAGTCTCCGTATAACAGGTTTCATTTAAGTGGTAGTTTCCGGAAGTTTTTTTTTTTTAATATTTTAAATTTCTTCCAAATGGAGAAGGGTATTAAAAGTTTGGCCCGGCCGAACTTAGCTGCTTTTTTTACTTGTTTTTACTATATTTAATTTTTTTCATTTTCTTCCACTCACTTTCAGGTGCAATTAATATGCGAGCGTATGCTTAAAGAACGTGAAGATGAGTTGCGTGAAAAATACGACGCTGTACTGACAACAAAACTTGCAGAACAATATGATGCTTTTGTCAAATTTACTTATGATCAAATACAAAGACGTTACGAAGCTGCTCCCAGCTGTAAGTACTACCGAGTAATAAACGTACGTATGTAGTCGATGTTGTCATTGTTTTTTTCTTCTGTTTTTCACAGATTTGTCGTAATTTCGGACCTCAGGCGTGTACCCCTCCCCCAAAATTAGTTTCTTATGTAGACGCTAAGGATCTAACTTCCTCCCAGCCTTTTTGTCATTTTACTGCAACACAGCAGCAAACATTTTTCACTTAATTTCACTTTAATTTGGTTTTCAAAACTAATTGCCAAAAAACCATTTTTTTCCTTTTCTATACAAAATCATTTATATTTTCTGTTATCTTTTTTTCGATTTCAATTATCTATACATCAATGGATTCGAATTCAATTAGAAGAAAGCTATTTAAATTTTATTTCTTTCCCATGCAACAAATAGTAAGAAGAAGACATATATTATTATATATGTATTTAAAGAAACAACAACAGCAAACTCAAAATAATTAAGGATTAATTTAACAAATTAATTACAACAAACAAAACAAAAAAATGACACCTCATTATACCTGCAGGTTAAAAATACATACATAAAAAACATATTTGCATACCAATAATTATTTTTAAATATTAAAAAGAAAATATATAAAAATACAAGAAGAAGAAGTTCAATACTGGAAAGTAAAGTAAATTGAATTACATATAAAAAATAAAAACAAAACAAAAAAAGCATATATTGCATACAAGAAGAAGCAGAAGAAGAAGAAGAAGTGAAGGAAAAAAACTAATAATTTATAAATTAGTAAATAATATTAGTAATATTATAATTACAATATAAATAAACTAAAACAAAACAAGATATGGAAGGAAACAGCAAATCCACAACACATCCAAAAAGAAAAACAATAAGGCCCCTGCTCAACTCCCATGTATGCCGCCAATGCAAACATAACATAAACTAAAATAAAAAAAGAATGCCACAACTAATAATCCCTTCCATTGCGAGCAGTTCTACAAACATACATACATATAATCATCAAGAGATACAAACAAAAGTGCTGCACTCCGCCTCAACTGTTGTTAATTGTAAAGGAACTTGCCATGGCATAAATCTGGCCGGTTTCTTTATTTTTGTACAGTGGTTCTACTACTACTACTACTACTACTTATTCTCAAAGTTATATACCAGAAAATATAGCGTCGAAGCAGAAGAAGAAAAAGAATAATAAACCTCAAAACTCCACAAAGTGTAAACAAATGAAATAAAAACTGAAGAGAAAATAAAATAGTTTTGTAAAGCTTATCATATAAAACAAAAAATAATAAATATATATTTAAAATATCATAAAACAAAACAACAAAACATGAAAATATGCATATGTGTTACCATCTCTCAATGGATGTATGTTTTCTTCTTCTTTTCTCATTGATTTTCATAAACAAACACAATTATCCATTAACAACCACAACAAATGCGTTGTAATTTAATTTCTTCTATGCATCTCAAAATTAGCAAAAAAAAAAACATTTATTTTTTTCTTTTAATTTTAAATGAGAAAGTGTTGTTTTTGTAATAGCGCATAAACAAAATATTTAGTTTCATTTGCTTTCTTTATAAAACAAAAAAAACATAATTAGATTTATTATAATTTTTTTTTTCATTTGAATAATAATTTGTAATACTGAAATATATATTTTTCTCTCATGTATTTTATTATTATAAAACAAAAAAGAATAATAAAAAGCAAAGAAAACTTTTCTATACTTTAATGATTAGAGAAAATGCCATTTTTTATAAATAAATAAAACAAAAGAAAAACACAGACAATTTTGAAGAAAAATAGCAAAATCATTTAGTTTTATTAAGGATTTGACAAGGGGGGAATAAAAAAAATTACATTTGTTCTAGGAATTAAATTCTTACAAGGGATTGTTTAAATCGATTATCGACTGTAAAGACTAAAATTACAAATGGGTACCCACAACCTCTGTTGCCAAAATGGTCTTATTTGAAAAATATCTTCATGTCTAGAGAAGAATAATTAATTTAGAAACTAGGACTAATAATATAGTATACAATATTAGGAACTATCCTAATACACAAACAACGCTTAACAGTTTTTGTACAGTATGGCAACACTGAAAGACTCATAAAGAACGCACTATGCTATGTTCTCACAGATATTTGAACAATTACAATAGTATAAGTCGATTTTGCCGACAGATTTACAACCTCAGCCTTGAGTTATGATTATTCAAACTGTTGACCCTTTACGAGGGAGGTTCCGAAGCAGTTGGCCAATATTGAACAATTCGTATCTGATCTAAGACTGATAAAAATATTACAACGTGCCAGATTTGAACTATATCGACTACTTCCGATATGTGCAAATTTTCGGAAAATGTGGAAATATATGTGAGATACCAGATATAGTGGACCGAACCATTCAATTTGCATAATTCATCTAATGTAGATAAGAATACTGGTATGTGCAACATTTGAAAGAAATCGAACACTTATATCCGATTTTATGCGAAATCATAAATCCCCATTAATTGCATATTCATATCAGACTTCTGGTTAAGATAAATATTTAGATATAGCAAACTGTAAAGAATCCCCGACTTCTTTCGCAAGTTATGACAGATATACGTATTGGAAATTGTGACCCATGGTGGGTGATGTATCAGAAGGGGTTCGCAGATATACAGGGTGAGATAAAAAAAACTGCAACGACCAAAAAAGGTCGGAAATAGCATACAATTTTAGAATATGTTTAGATTTGTTCGAACTGGTTACCACTGGCACGAATTATGGCCTTCAAACGGTCAATGAAACCGTCACACGCTGCCCGAATGTTGCTCTGGGGTATTTTGGCCCATTCCCGGGGAAGCGCTTGCTTGAGGTAATCAACTCTTTGGTATTCTTAAGTGCCAACCTCAAAATACTTCAGACACAATAGTCCAATGGATTGGAATCCGGAGATTTTGGTGGCCATTGTGAGCTGGAAATGAAGCGAGGAACCTCATTTTGTAACCGAGGCTTATGGTGTTGAGTCCTGTTGAAATGTCCAAGGTATGCGTCCAAAATGTTTGCGTGCCCAAGGCTTTAATACACCCTCCAGAATATTTTCGAGATAATATTTGGCATTTATTCTGATGCCACGGTCAATTAATACGTGCGGAGAGCGACCATCGGCTGTTATGGCGGTCCACACCAACACCATGTCCGGCGCTTGAGTTCTGGTTGCCAACTGAAGGTACACTATTTTTGCAATTTCCTTTGAAATCATAAAGGGAAAATCAATTATCGTAGTAAAAACTTTTATATTCTTGCCGTTCATAATCAATTGGAAAGTTGCTGTTATCGATAATTGGCGTTAATTCTCTCGGAAATTAGCTTGAAAATATAATAACAGAGTCGCATTTTTGCCAAGAAGTCATTTTTATATTTCGACATTTTCTTGGAGTCCTTAAAAAGTCTTTGCTCTGGTATGGCATGTTTACGTTAGAGCTTTTTTCCGGGTTAATCTTCTTTATGAAGATTTATTTGAGGTATATGAAATGGAATTGACAATTTAAACCTACTGGGTTTTCTAAATCCTTTACAGCGTAAACGTACTAGTAGAATGTGAACTTTACGATTTATTCTCTATCTTATTTTTCAATTTCAAAACTAGTAGATTCTTGCAGGTTCTGGAACAGAGCAATTGTTGCCTTTTACTACGATAACCGATTTTCCTTTTATGACAACGAAAATAATTTAAAACCTAGTAGATTCTTGCAGGTTCTGGAACAGAGCATGTATTTATTTATTCTCTCAAGAATATTGCTCTGTTCCTGTACCTGCAAGAATATATTTGTTTTAAATATATCGACTGGCAAAAATCAGTGATCTCAAAATCGAAAATCGGTTTTAAACAAAAAATCGATTTAAACTGTTACATTTTTCACCATCAAAAGTCGATTAGTCGAAAGTCGACTTACGTATCCCTATTGTCGAATGGAAGAAGAAGAGTGACGAACTGAGCAATAGGACGGAAATTTTTTGTGCAATTATTTACATTAATTATTTCAACAATATTTAATACAAAATCTCCTCCCATTGGAAGGATACGAATAAAAATTTGGCGACAAAAGCGAAAAAAGTAATTAACGGCATAACAAAAGCAACACAAAAATATACAATAATAAGTATTTGGAGAAAAAAAGAAGATTGAAAGAAAATCAATTAGTGTGTGAGTGAGTAATGATGAATGTGTGTGGTTGTTGGGTGAAAGAGTGAGAGAGCGAAGAACGCGCAGCCAGCAGAAGATTTAAAATCTAAAAATATTTCTTTTTTTCCTCAAAAAAAGCAGCATATATTTTGCAAAAAGAAAAAGCGACATATAGTCTTTTGCATACACAACCGTTCAACCCCATCCATTGCTTTTAATTGAATTGAATTAAATTCGTTATTGGAATATTGTTTGTGGAAGCGGAAGAGGAAGAAACAACAACATTTAAACATGGTCTTGAAAGTTTACATCAGTGGAATGTCTGGCAACAAGGAGGTAAGTGGTGGTGTTGATGATGATAATATTGCTGTTGTTGTTGTTGGTTTTGGTGGTGGTATGTATATTCCATCATCATTCACAATGACGATGATATGATGTGGATTGAAGAAGACTATTATGATTGTATGTGGGCGGGGCGGCACGGCACGGCAATACCCTTGTCATTCAGTCAGTGCTTGAGCATTTTGTTTTGTAATGAACGACGACAATGAACTGGCTGACTGACCAGCTAGCTATGCTAATTTAACAATGGTTTGTTTTCATTGTTTTGTTTGGAAAATAAGGGGTTTACTGGGTGAAAGGGGTCCTTCATATTTATTTTATATGGCACCCACTTTATCATTTGATTACCCAGCGCGTCAGTGTCACTCAACTTTCTTTATCATAAAATACCTTTTCATATAACATCGAATGACAAAGGGTAACATTTTTCTAGAACAGCCATTAATCGATATCTGTAAACATTTCATTCTCGTCGTCGCTTGATTCTAAAATTAATCATGTCTTTTTCTAGCCATTTTTGGGGTTCAAGTGGGGCAGGAAAAAAACTGGTTTTAGTGTGTGTCTATTCCATTTGGTAAATTACCGACAAACATGTTTGTAGCTACGCATTCGTAAATTCTATGAGAGCTTAAAAAATGCCAAAGTAAATGTTGTAATCCATATGTAATGAATGTTGTTTATTCTATCTACTTGTGCCTAATCAGATCAACGAAATGTGTTTATTTGTGTTTTTTTGTTTAGATTAAACATATCTACTTAATAGAACTGTTATCACAATTTGTTTCAGACTTTTGTTTACTCGACGAACGGGAACATTCACACTTGTCCCATATCCATATATTATTTATACCGGCTTTTTTTCAAATAGCACACCACTACTCTTCTTTCCAAATAACGTACCCATTGTTGTGTGTATTTAGAAAGTAGCATAGCTTGTTGGTTGGGAAGTGTATTAGAAATGTTTCTGGGAAATCCATTCATAAGAAATAATAATAATAAAAAAACGGCGTCTTTCAAATGCTAGAAAAATGTATGACGTCATATCAGGCAGGTGTTTGTGCCATTTTGATGTAATGGTTATAACCTACATCAAAAAATGGTAGTTGTAAGGTGGTAAAACAGGAGAGTTAGCGAATGGGGAGAAATATTTCACAATGAATTTGTTAGGTTAAATCCGGGCCTAACTCTAGTTTAGTAAAAACTCTTCAATTTTTTCCAATTGTTTTCCATGACCCGGAACCAGATTCTAACTAGTTCATTAAAATTATGTTTTCAATAAAAAAGGTTTATTTCGCGTATCGAAGAGCTTTTACTAAAGATAGTATGGAGGGTATACTATGTTTGTAAATCCATTTGTAACACCTCGAAATATACATTTTAGACCCCACAAAGTCTATACAGGGTGGGATAAAAAAACTGTAACAAAGTCAAACGTCATAATTTTTACTTTTTTTTAATTGAATGAAAACAAAAAATGTCGGAAACAGCATCAAATTTTAGAATAGGTTTAGATTTGTTCGAAATGGTCACCTTTGGCACGAATTATGGCCTTCAAACGGCCAATGAAACCGTCACACGCTGTCGGCTGTTATGGCGGCCCACACCATCACCATGGCCGACGCTTGAGTTCTGCTGGCCAACCGAAAGTGCACATTTCCAGCAGACCTCTTTGGCAAGTAAATACGATCATTTTGTTTGTTTACAAACTGCAGGACGACGAATGTTTTCTCATCAGAGACGGAAAAACCAAATTTGGCAGTTTACCACTTTCGGCCAAGCGAAGCAACTCTTTAGCTCTTTTGAGTATTTTCTTTTTTTTGGAATTTCACCGAGCCCATTTTTCAATATTTGCCGAATAGAATATCGATCAAATCGCTTTTTTACGTTTCGAACCATCGGTCCAACAATTTGAATAAAATTGGCTGAGGGTATAAATATGTTGGCAAAACCGACTAATACTTTTTAACTTGTTTAAGCTTCAATAACATTGTTACTCATCTTTGGTTGATTCATTCATTCAAAGTGTGAGATGAGTTTCTGTTCCACCACCTACAATCTGAAGACAAATTAAGATTTAAATAGCAAGTATGATTCATTCAATGTGCAATTATTTATTATCAAGTTATATTTACTTCTCATAGAAAATAGAAATTAAAAACAAAACAACTAGTTCTTCATTACGGCTTTCTAAATAGTAGCTACGCTTTTCTAATGATTCACGAACATTACAAATTTGAGGTGTACTTATCAGTTCTCACCAATATAGGTGGCATTCTTATCATTATCGATTGTGTGTGACTGGTGTTTGTAGGTGATTGCTTTCTCATGGTGATATCATGTTTGTTATAGATGTGTTTTTTATGGCAAGAACGATGATTAAAGTGTTGTGCAGGAATGATAAAAGGGTGCATTTTTCAACACGTAGTACGCCATTGCAAAGATTTGAAATCTTTGGTGGTAATTTATTAGAAAATATTCACAGTTGGATTTGAATTTGCCTTGAGAATTCTTAAATATTTCCCATTCAGTGACATGGGTATGACTTAAAAATTTCGATGAACGAAATAGGATAGTAACAGATTTAGCTTCTTTGCTTAATTTAGGCATATAGAAAATTGTGTTTTTAAATGATAGGATATAAAAACATTACTACTGCTTGTCTTCTCCCCAGGGGGGGGTCGTTTGTTATATTCATTGAGGAGGTTTGAAATGCAAAATCAGCCTTTGAACAGATATAAAATTTGACCTTCCAATAAAAAAAAACTAACTAAAACCTGACTATAGCCTAACATATCAGGGCCAATAGCCAGTCGCCCATGAGCTGCTATCAGGACAAGAACCATTCTTGATGGCAGGAAAGAATCTTTTGAAAATACTAAACTTCATTAAGCAATGTTGGGTCTCAGATCATATTAACCTAATTCGAAATAAAGTGACTGAGTTGGTTTCCAGTCATTTGATCTACCGTTAAGCCATACCGCTATATACAGGTCGATTTCGTTTTTGTCGACATATCCGCACATATTAGTCAAGGACTAAACCAGAACAATTCGTGTCTTAGGTAGGCATCCATTGATTTATTAGAGGCAATTGCTACAGTCAACCCTGATACGCTTACGAATTAGCTTGAGTTTGGTTTCCAGTCAATTGATCTATCGATAAGCTATATATAGTCCGATTTCACTTTTGTCGACATATGCACACATATTAGTCGAGGACTAAACCGGAACAATCCGTGTCTCCCTTGATTTATTAAAGGCATTTTCTATAGTTAAACATGTCACGTTGTTTGAGGATGTCGACCTCTGACCAAGTTTGAAAAGTTGTATAATCATCTATATGTGTAGACAACAGTCGTATGTGTATTTCCGGAACAAGAAGTCCAAAGCACCTAGCGTTAAACAGGAAGTTCCCCAAGGAGGTGATATATTCGGAAATTTTTAACGTCTATTTTTCTCTACGGAAAGGAAGTAAGTCTGAACACCAATTTCGCAGAGCCGGCCTCTTATAACGCGAAAAGACTGTGGTCAGCTATGCGGCCCATATGTGGTCTGCAAATACAAGTGCTATGCAGTGGAACAACATCCAAACCTGCCAGGCTGCTGCCCTGAGAACTGCAGCAGTGTGCCTTCCCATCACACCAGTGGACCATCTACATGAGAAGGCGAAAGTCCTTCCCTTACGTCAGCATACCCATATACTTTCGATGTCGTGCCTGCTTGGGTGTTATCGTGGGAGTCATCGCAACCATGATAGGGGGGGTACAACTCCTCAACCCAAGCGTGTCAGGAAGAACATACATGATCTAGAGAGGGAGGTCCAACGCCATAAGAGAGAGCCTGTAGATCAGGAAGCCTATCAGGCTGGTCTAATTGGCATTCATACTAATGCAGTCAAAGATGACATCAACAATTACAGGATGAATGCCGTACTCGGAATCCACCCCCCATCCATTGCAGCTGAATACCTCGGAGGTTTCCATTTCCCAAAATACATTGGCCTAGAAGCATTTTTATACCCTCAGCCATATGCCTACAGACGGTATATATATTTCGATACGGCATTTTTATACCCTCAGCCATATGGCTACAGACGGTATATATCTTTTGATACGGTTGAAACGTGCCTTATCGAAATAACGGTTTCAGACCCTAGGACTCTTCGGACATTTGGAGACGATCTAACCATGTCCGTCCATCTGCCTCGAAGGAAGTATCCGATTTGATCCAAACTTGGTACATCGTAATATTATTGTCAAACTTAGATCGAGTTCGAAGATGGACAATATCGGTCGACTCATTCTGGTACCACCCCCACAAAATGTCAACATTTTCAAAGAAAATAACTTACTGCACAGAATGTGAAAGGATAATACGATTTTGCTCCAACTTTTCAAATCCTAATATTTGCATCGGTGCTAGGTTAGGTGTGAAAATGGACAATATCGGTCCACTCCATCCAATAACTCCCCCACAAAGGGTAAAAATGTTGAATAATTATAACTTTAATAAAATGTGATGTACGTGTCCGATTGTCTTCATTTTACACAAATCACAATATTTTTATCAAGGGAATTATCGGTCCACTCCTTCTGGTACCTCTCCCACATAGGGTCAACATTTTCGAATATTCATGAAGCTCATTAAACGCAAAATTAAAATCCGATTACATTCAAACATGGCACATCTTAATATTTATATCAACACAAGATCTGTTGTAAAGATGGTAGGGATTGGATATTGCCTTCTGGTACCTCCCCCACAAAGGGTCAAAGTTTTGAATAACCAAAACGATTATTAAATCCGATATGGGTTTTATCATTTTTGCATAGTTTGATTAATATTTTATAATTTCCACCTGGGTTTGAATTTCAGCTACATCTAAGATGGAGGTATACATATTACCTCAAATAGTGCTATAGGCCGTCACAATGTTTTTTTCTTAGTTTTGGGGTTATTTCAAACTTCTTTTTCTTAATTTGTTTTCAATATATATCTTATTAATAAAACATTATGTCTTCACAGGTCAAGAAACGCCAGCAACGTGTTCTCATGATTTTGGAGAGTAAAAATATTGCCTATGAAGTAATCGATATCACCGAACCTGGTCGTGAGACGGACAAAGAATTCATGCAAAACAAATCGACTAGCAATGGTGCCACAGTTAGTGATCCCGAACCCAGACATCCTCTGCCACCACAAATTTTCAATGATGAAGAATACTGTGGTGATTACGATGCCTTCGATATGGCCAATGAAATTGATACATTGGAACAGTTCCTGAAGGTGGCACCTCCGGTCGAAGCAACACCAGCAGCGCAGCCAGAAAACGGTGAGACCAAAACCACCAATGGTGATGCTGTGGACGCTGGGGAAAATAAAGAGAATGAAGGTGGCGAAAGTGCCGAAGAAAAAACTGCCAAGAATGCCGAAGAGGGCGAAAATGCCGAGGTTTGAAACTTGTATTCTTTTGTTGTAATCATAAAGAGCTCTGATGATAAAAGAAATGATATTTTTAAGTACATAATTGCAAAGCAAAAACAAAACAACAACAAAAAACTATGTTAACACATAACAAAAACAACAACTCTCAAACATTTCTAAGAATGACAGCACTACCAATTACTGCAAAAAAAGAAACACTTATCTCACATCTACACAAACATTTCCACTGATTTATTTAAACAAAAAACAAAACATCTTCCTTTCCTACTAAGCAAATTGCTGCACTATGATTCTCCTAACGTTTAATTTATTATTTTGATGATTATTTTTTTAATTTTTTAGATTTTTTATTATTTTTTTAATTTTTATTTGATTTTTGCCTCCCATTCCATTTTTTATTTTTTCTTTTTGACACTAAACATTAACATCAAAACTATGCTTAAAGTATATTATTACTATATACAAATAAATTACATACAACATTACATATATATATGAACTATGTATTATCTAAAATACATAACTACATAAATATATAAATTAAAAAAAAACAACAACAAAAAAGAAACAATTTAATAAAAGTTTGTATTTTGAAAAATTAACCCTTAACCGCCAGAGCAGTAACGCATTTGAATAAAAAAATTTAAGCTTTAGATATCGTAAATAACCAAAGAACAACAACTACAACAACAACAGTACAGGGTGAGATAAAAAAAAACTGCAACAAAATTTTTAATTTTTTTTTTTTTTTTTTTGAATGAAAGCAAGAAATTTCGGAAATAGCATCAAATTTTAGAATAAGTTTAGATTTGTTCGAATTGGTCACCTTTGGCACGAATTATGGCCTCAAACGGCCAATGAAACCGTCACACGCTGCCCGAATGTTGCTCTGCGGTATTTTGGCCCATTCCCGGCAAATCGCTTGCTTGAGGTGATCGACAATTTGTTATTTTTTAGTGCCAACCTTGCTTTCCAAAATACTCCAGACACAATAGTCCAACGGATTGGTATCCGGAGATTTTGGTGGCCATTTTGCATTGGAAATGAAGCGAGGAACCTCATTTTGTAACCATTCTTGGGTGGCGCGTGATGAGTGCGATGGTGCTTAGTCCTGTTGGACTTAAGGCCAAGGTCTGCGGCCAAAATGTTTGCGTGTCCAAGGCTTTAATGCACCCTCCAGAATATTTTCGGGATAATATTCGGCATTTATTCTGATGCCACGGTTGGTAAATACGAGCGGAGAGCGCCCATCGGCTGTTATGGCGGCCCACACCATCACCATGGCTGGCGCTTGAGTTCTGGTGGCCAACCGAATGTGCACATTTTCAGCTGACCTCTTTGGCAAGTAAACACGATCATTTTGTTTGTTTACAAACTGCTGGACAATGAATGTTTACTTATCGGAGACGGAGAAACCTAAATTCGGCAGTTCACCACTTTCGACCAAGCGAAGCAAATCTTTTGCTCTTTTGAGTCTATTTTCTTTCCTTCGGTTGTGGTTTAAGTTCTTGGACTTTTTGGAATTTCAATGTCCTTACCCCGAGCTAATTTTTCAATATTTGCCGAATGGGATATTGCGATATGCTCAGCTGTCACTGGAATAATTTTAACAGCTGTCGGACGAGTGGCTTAGAAATGACAGCAGTCTAAAGTTAATTGCAGATTTTTATCTCACCCTGTACATAAAAGGGGCAAGGGGACACCATGTCTATGGATGTCCGGATCACAAGGGACACCACTTGGTTTTTTTTTTGGGCGGGAAACACATTACAACTCAAGCGTTAAGCAAAACTTGTAGTTCTGGAGAATGTGCAAAAGATGGCTTTTTTGTAGTGGAACCTATTTCCAAGACAATGCTCGCATACAACGAAATTCTGGCTAAATAGCAGCTCCAATGTGAAACAAAATGCACGCGCTTTCTGTGTAATTGGAAATCGAAACAAAAACGTCATACCACCACAGAACGAAACTTCTCCTATTATATACTGTAAGCAATATCAAGGATACGTTCCAAATTCTATAAGAGAGAACTAACATGGCAAATGTTTCTCTTTTTATTTGTTTATTTGTGTTTTTAAACGCTCTTTGTCTTCTGTGTGTTTCGAACTATTTTAAATATTCCTCTGACTATCGCTCACTCTCTCTTTGGCTTGCCGTGCTTGCATTTCTTCCTCTCACTCGCTCTATCTCGCGCGCGCTGTCTATCTCTCTATCCCTACTCTTTGTGTCTCTCTTCTGCTGTGTTGTAATATCGTAATTAGCGTAAACAATTGGCCAAAGCAATAATGCGCCCATCTATGCGTCAAGCTGCAACAAATCTCATCGTAGTAATGAAAGTTTCAATCAAATTTTTACCCAAGAATGCCGATAAATCGGAGAACAAAGAAAACGGCGAAGAGCAACCAGATGGTGAAACTAAGAAGGACAACGAGGAGGATACTGCAAAGGATTCCGAGGACGGGGATAAAAAGGATGAAAAAGGTAAATTTGTGAATTTCCAACAAATTCAAGAGCATCATCAATATTTTGCTATGTGTATTTTAAAGAGGAGGATAAAACCGATGCAGTAGAGGAGAAGGAAAAACAGGAAACAGTCGATGATGGCGAAGAAACAACGGCAAAGAAAGACCAGGACACGGAGGAGGTTTGTGGAGTCATGTGTGAATTTGCTTGCGTTGTTTGCATGTTTGCTTTGCTATTGAATTGCTTTCTTTGGAATGTTAGTCCATTGATGCATTTCAGAAAAATCTTTAATGGAATTTAATTGATTTCTAATTTGTAATGATTGAATTACTGTGGCTCCAGGCAATTCCACAGAGAGACCAAGTGTGTATCCGAAGACTAATATATTCACGTCTTGTTTTTTATACCCTCATCCATGTGGCTGGCTGGAGAGGGTATATATTGTTTGATAAGGCCACAACGTGCCTAGTCGATATAACGGTTTTATATCCTTGGTCTCTTTGAACCAAATCCGTTTCATGACATTAAGAGTCGATCTAGCGCTGTCCGCCCGTCTGTCTAGTTGGCTGGTGCGCACGATAACTCTCGACTTGAGGTTCCAAACTTGGTACAGGGTAATACTATTATCAAATTTAGATCGAGTTCAAAGATGGGCAATATCGGTCCACTCCTTCTAATACCTCCCCCACAATATGTCAAAATTTTCAAAGAAAAAATTTACTGCACAGAAAGTGAAAAGATAATCCGATTTGGCTTCTACTTTGCAAATTCTAATATTTCCATTAGTGCTACGGCAGGTGCGAAAATGGACAATATCGGTCCACTCCATCAAGTATCTCCCTCAAATATTGAATAATTATAACTTCTATAAAATGTGATGCAAGTGTCCGATTGTTTTCAAATTACACATATCATTATTATTAACCCAAGGTCTGGTGTAAAAATGGAATATATCGCTTCACTCCTTCTGATACCTCATGGGTACCTGGTACCTAGTTGAAAATTTTGAAAATTCATGAAGTTCCTAAAACACGAAATTAACATCCGATTCCATTCGGTCTTGGTACATTTCAATATTTCCATCAACACCAGATCTGCTATAAAGATGGTAGAGATCGGACCACTCCCTCATAAAGGGTCAGAGTTAAGTGAATAACAAAATTCATAAAATTCGAAATAAGCATCCGGTTCTCCTCAAATTACACATATCACAATATAAAAATTAAGCCAAGGTCTGGTGTGCAGATCGGATATACCGGTCTACTCCTTCTGGTACCTCCCTCACAAAGGGAAAGGGAAAATTAACATCCGATTCCATTTATACTCGATAAATCTCAATATTTCCATCACGACAAGATCTGTTATAAAGATGGTAGAGATAGGACCATTCTTTCTGGTACCTCCCCCACAAAGGGTTAACGTTTGTGAGTAACAAAAACGGTCATAAAATCCGAAAAAAAGCATCCGGTTCTCTTCAAATTACACACATCACAATATTTTTAATAACCCAAGGGCTGGTGCGAAGATGGGATATATCGGTTCACTCCTTCTGGTACTCTCTCACAAAGTGTCAAAATTTTGAGTAACTATGAAGCTCATTAAGCATGAAATTAACTTCCGATTCCATTCGGACAACACAAGATCTGTTACAAAGATGGTGGAGATGGAACCATTTATTCTGGTACCTCCCACACATAGGGTTCAGGATTTTGAAATACAAAACGCTCAAAGAAAACGAAATAAGCATCCAACTCTCTTCAAATTTCGAACATCCAAATATTTTTGCTAACGCAAGATCTGTTGTAAAGATGAAATATATTTGCCAACCCCTTCTGGTACCTTACCCAATTGGTTACAATTTCCAACGCTTATGTCTGTCATAACTTGCTAAACAAGTCGGTGATTCTTTACAAGTTGCTATATCTAAATATTTCTCTTAATCAGAATTCTGATATAAATTTATAATTTATTGCAACTTATGATTTCGCATAAAATTGGTTCGATTTCCTTCAAATTTTTCACATTCCAATATTTTTATCTGTATTAGATGAAGAATGAAAACGGAATACTTCGGTCCGCTATATCTGCAACCCCTGCATTTTTCTACATTTTTCAAAAATTTGCTCATATCTCATATAAAGTATAGGAAGTAGTCGATAATAGTCCAAATCTGGCATGTTGTAATATTCAGTCAGATACGCAATGGTCAGTATTGGCCAATTGCCTCGGAACCTCCCCCATAAGAATCAACAGTTTGAATAATCATAACTCAAGGCTAAGGGTTTAAGTCTGTCGGAAAAACGGACTAATACTATATTCCTTGTTACAATTGACAAAAGAAGAAGAAGTCCGTATTGGCCAAATGCTTCGGAACCTTCCCCATAATGGGTCAACAGTTTGAATAATCATAACTCAAGGCTAGGGGTATATTCCTGTTACAATTGACAAAAGAAGAAAATGTGCGCCATTACGAATCTCTATTCTCAAGCGGTATTTACCAAGATGGCTGGGGTCTTCTTTAGTTCCGCCGGCCCGAACCAGTAATTTGACAAATAGTTATTTACGAAACTTTTCATCGAATTTGGTGTACATTGGGAATTCCCTGCTGCAAGGAGTCTCATAATTGAGAGGGAATAGCCGCTAAGGTCCTCTAGAGTTTTTCTTTAATTTCACAGCAAATTGCTTGACACGTGTTGTAAGAAACATTCTCCTCCAGATCAGTTTGTTTGAAAAATCTTCAAATTGCCCAAAACCAGCGATTTCTTATTTAATTGTCACCAATCACAAATTAGGTGGTCTTTCTGGCTACTTTCTGAGAGAGTAAGGAAGTTTAATTCTCTTTTGTAAGAAAACCGTAAATCAGACACAATGTCACACTTTTATGTTCTCACCATTTTGTTACTCTCTCATTATATTTTTTTCAATGGTTATAATTGTGAGTGTGGAGAGAATTATGGTCTTTGAAGGCACGCGTCTCTATTTGACAGAAAACAATTGTCGCGCCATAAAATGAAACAAAGCTTGATTTTATTTAATTAAAAAGCCATACCATAGAAGAATGATGCTGGATAAACGAACGCAATTGCCGAAGAAAAATTATTATTTACACATTATAAAATGTGGAAGATTGCATGTTTCTAATTGAAGCTTAACAATTAACTCCTTAGAATTTTGCTGCATGTAAATGTTGTTGTACTTGTACCAAATGCTTTTGGGCACAAGTACATGCCAATGTACGTATGTATGTATGTTATGGTCCCAATAACATCATAATTAACATCACGTATTTATATATGTTTTCATTTCATTTTCCACAATGAAACACACTTTTCCATCATTCAGAATGAGAAGTCGGAAGATGGTCAGGAAAAAGAAAAGAAGGATGAAACGGAAACGAAAGAAGATGATGAAAAGAAGGATGATACGGAGTCGGACAAAAATAAAGATAACGAAGACAAAGCCACAACGGATGATAAGGAAACAACTGAAGAAAGTGATACCAAAGAATCTAATGATAAGACAGATGATGCTGGCAAGGACGAAGAGACCAAAGATCAAACCGATGGGCAAGTGGCTGAAACGGAAAATAAGGAAGAAAAACAAGAGGAAACGGAAGGAGAAGAAGAAGAGGAAGAGGATAATGAAGAGAAGGAAGCAAAGGAAAAGGAAGAAGAAGAAGAAAAGAATGATGAAAATAAACAAGATGAAGTAGAAGATAAGAAAGAAGATGAAGAAAAGAATGATGAAAACAAACAAGATGAAGCGGAAGAAAAGAAAGAGGAGGATGTAAAGGATGAAGCAGAAGAAAAGAAAGAAGATGAAGAAAATAATGATGAAAACAAACAAGATGAAGTAGAAGAAAAGAAGGAAGAGGAAGTTAAGGAGGTTGTTGATAGTGAAACCAAAGAAGAGGCTGAAGCTGCAGAAAATGAGAAAAATAAGGATGACGAATCAAATGAAAATGATGAAAAGTCCAATGAAACGGATAACAAAAATGATGAAACCGATAAAGTAGATAGCTCAACGGAAGCAGCAGCGGAAACAAAATCCAAAGATGAAGAGTCTTCAGAGGAAGGGGAGGATGAAGAAGATAAAGAAAAATAATACGACTAGTAGCAAGAACATAAAACATGATGACGCTTATAAGCCAAAGATATGATTCATGACTGATTTCATATGAAACTGCTGCCACCCCCTCTTTCTTTCTCGTGCCTTTTAATCTTTATTTATTCTCATTTTGCAAATTTAACTATAATTTTCTATATTTCTTCACACAGAATATCTAATTAATTTCTGCACCGGGCCCAGAGGAGAATATTTTTTATACACCACCCTACACACACACACCTGCACATGCATAATAATGTTTTTTTTTTATTACTTATTTATAATAATTAATTTTCCCCCACCTTTTTTTAAACCGAAAATATCCTTGTAAATATGTGTATGCAATAAAAAACTGAAAATTATTTAAATATTATTAAAACAATATATAAGAAAACAAAGAAGTTGGTTGTACTATTGCTGAAGTTTAGATAATTTTTAATTTTGAAATAACTTTACCCCTATGAAAATTGTTTTTTTTTTTACCCATAACAGTAGAGTACAACCAATTTCAATATTACCCAACCGATTTTTTATATTTATTTTAGAAATTATTTATTGGGCGATAAATAAATAAATAATCAATATTTATACTAATTTAGCGGGGTTGTGATCCAAAATTAAAGCCTTGGTTTCAAAAACAACCCCACCAAAAAAAAAAAATAAAATAAATAAAAAAACAGTCACCTAAAATCGACCTCAGTGTAAGATAAAAAAAAACTGCAACGAAGCCAAACGCCACAATTTTTACATTTTTTTTTTTAAATTTTATGAATAAAAGCAAAAAATGTCGGAAATAGCATCAAATTTTAGAATAAGTTTAGATTTGTTCGAATTGGTCACCTTTGACAGGAATTATGGCCTTAAAACGGCCAATGAAACCGTCACATGCTGCCCGAATGTTGCTCTGCAGTATTTTATCCGATTCTCGGCGAAGCGCTTGTTTGAGGTGATCAACACTTTTGTATTTTTAGTGCTAACATTGCTTTCCAAAATACTCCAGAGACAATTGGTCAAACGGATTGGTATCGGGAGTTTTTGGTGGCCATTGTGCGCTGAAAATGTAGCGAGGAACCTCATTTTGTAACCATTCTTGGGTGGCGCGTGCTGAGTGTGATGGTGCTGAGTCCTCTTGGAATGTCCAAGGTCTGCGGCCAAAATATTTGCGAGCCCAAGGCTTTAATACATCCTCCAGAATATTTTCGCGATAATATTTGGCATTTATTCTGATGCCACCGTCGATTAATACGAGCGGAGAGCGACTATCGGCTGTTATGACGGTCCCCCCACACTATCACCATGGCCGATGGCCAACCGAAGGTGGTGCACATTTTCAGCTGACCTCTTTGGCAAGCCATTCGAACCATTTCTGCTGATGCGGCTGTTTTCTTCCGTCCACTTCCTTGAGATCGGGCTATGCTACCAGTATCACGGTAACGAGCGATGGTACGAAACAAAAGATTTATTCAAATTTAAATGCTGGAGTTCTCTAACGAGAACTAAAAGAGAAATCACTTCCATCACGAATAACTTTTTTTCAGGAAAATTCTCAACAAAATACTTTTGTACGCTTGTAAACAATATAATGAGCTATCACTGGAATAATTTTCACCCTGTATGGGAAGAAATATCCGCAAAATCGGATGAAGATGTATATCGAGGCTATATAAAAATCTGAACCGATCTCGAAAAAATTTGCCAGAGGTATTTTCGAGCTTTATCTGATTTCCGGTATTCATTTTATCTGAAAATGCTATATCATTCCTGTGGAGTGCATATTACGAATGTGAGCTATTAAAACACCAAATCGTCTGAAACATATATATAAGAGCTATAGCTATATCTGAACCGATATTCACCAAATTTGATTTACTTGCTTCTAGATTGAATTCGGTCAGATGGACTGATATTGGCCATTTGGTGCACAAAAACCCGAAATCAATTGAAGATATATATGGAAGATTTATCAAAATTTGAACTCGCTCTCACTAATTTCGATAGGGCTCGTCCTTGGATCAAACAAATATTGTTTGGAAAATTTTATCTCAATCGGATAATAAATGCGACCTGTTGACAAGAATACATGGACAGACGGACTGACATGCCGAATATTGGGGCTATAGGACGGTGCGAACCTGTACTGCCAACTATGTTCCGGAGAAGGAATGTTCCAAATACCAATTTTGTGATAATTCCGTTGAAAAATGTAACGGAAATAGCATAACAAATGCAGGATATCGGAAGGTACATTATTTGAGGACATACAAATATGACGACCTTCATAGGTAATATTCTGTCATTGGAAATGGTAGTCATTACGAACTCCAAATGCCAATTTTAAAAAAAAATACCGAATATCTAAATGGGGGTTATACGAAAATATGGTCCTAAATATATAGTTTTCTATCAGAGAATATAGTACCTATTGCCAACACTAAAATAATTATTTTAAACATAGGCATATATTCTTTTCAAATGCATCTACAGTCATAAGACTGAGGGTATAAAATGGGAGGGTGCCACCCACTCTACAGTCATTAAAAATCCTTTGAGTACTTAGGCATGGCCATAAGTTCCATGGAATTTCAATGATATTGCAATTCTTAAAACATAGGAAATCGACGAAGAAGTTAAGTAATTTTCCTCGTATACTCTTGGCATCTCCGTGGTGGGCGTTGCACCCAGGCTCCCCAAAAATTCTAAATTTTTAGATATTTTTAGAGCATGTCGATTGAAAATATCATTTTTTGCCAAAAATATTCATTATAAAGATCCAAAGTTATTTATCGCCCAATAAAACGAATGCTCATAAGAAAAAACCTATTCGTTTCTTAATAATAATATCAAAACCATTTTATATTCAGGTTTCTAAACAACAACAGCAGGAGTCACAACAGCAGCAGAGTGCACAAAATCTTCCAGTCAACGCACAAAAAGATGCCGCAAAAAACATCGTTGATCAGTTCATCGAAAGCGAGCAAAAAGCAACGGCTAACTAAAGCCAGCAGCAAGCAACTGGACGCAATGCAGCCCCATCCCAACATTTCAGTAGAAATAAAATCAACATTTTATACACACATAATTTTCCTTTTTTTCATTTTCTTTTCTTTTTAAATTAATAAAATGATTTCTTTATTACAAAACTAGTAAAAATGCTTAATTGATTTTAACTATAACTCAACACACTTAAAATTTTTGCATTTTCCGATGGTGATATATATTCTTTTTTTTTTTTTCTTCTCTTCAATTATAGATTTTTCCCACTGGTGTTTTCATGTCATGTCGTACAAAAAGAATATAGAAATTTGAAAAAAAAAACCAAATAATTGTCTAAATAAAATAGACGTCGTTTCCCCAAAAAAAATGTTTCTTAATGGAATTATATAGACATGCGGGTGGATGTACACATTGAATAATCCCCCATTTGGATGCTTCATGAAATTATGATGGTTTGGTTAGTTTCTCTTTTTTAGTTTCGTACATATAAAAAATTAGTTGTCTATTGTGGGAGGGGAGGATCTTGAACGTGTTCTGGTTGTTGTTGTGGAGTAGGGATGGATGTTTTTGTTGGTGGTGGTGGGTTTTTGTCCAAAACAAATGGATTTTACTCGGAATCTTCTTCGTCTGAAGTATCAGTCGTATAGTCGTCATAGTTTTCTGGTTGATCATTATTTTCATGTTCCGATTCACTGAGATCCCATTGGGGATGATCTGTGGGTGGTGCTGGCGCCTTTTTAACATCCAATTTAAGCTCTTGTTGCTGATCCATGCCAAGATATGAATCTGTAATAATTGAAACAAAGAGGAAATTGTGAAAAATAAAAATCGATTCAAGCAGTAGAATACATTGTAAAAGTAATTTCTAATATGATTTTAGGAGGATATAGTTTTTACACTCTGCCATATGGCTAGAGAGGATATATATCATTTGATACGGTCAAAACGTGCCTCCACCACAAAATGTCGAAATTTTCACAAAAAATATTTTACTGCACAGGAAGAGAGGGGATAATACGATTTTGCTCCAACTTTGCAAATCCTAATATTTGCGTCAGTGCTAGGTCAGGTGCGAAAATAGACAATACCGGTTCATTCCATCAAGTACCTCCCCCACAAAAGGTCGAAATTTTCAAAAATATATTTTACTGCACAGAAATAGAAAGGATAATCCGATTTTGCTCCAACTTTGCGAATCCTAATATTTGCATCAGTGCTACGTCAGGTGCGAAAATCGACAATATCGGTCCACTCCATCAAGTACCTCCCCAATATACGGTCAACATTTTGAATAATTATAACCCCTATAAAATGTGATGTAAGAGTTCCACTGTCTTCAAATTCCACACATCGCAATATTTTTATTAACCCAAGGTCTGGTGTGAAAATGGAATATATCGGTCCACTCCTTCTGGTACCTCCCCCACAAAGGGTGAAAATTTTTGGAAAATTAATGAAGCTCATAAAACACGAAATTATTATCCGATTCCATTCAGGCTTGGCACATCTCAATATTTCCATCAACACAAGATCTGTTATAAAGATGGTAGAGATCGGACCATTCCTTCTGGCATCCCCCCTCAAAAGGTCAAAATTTTGAATAATCAGAACGATCATAAAACCCGAAATAAGCATCCGGTTCTCTTCAAATTACCCACATCACAATATTTTTAATAACCCAAGGTCTGGTGTGAAGATGGGATATATCGGTCTACTCCTTCTGGTACCTCCCCCACAAAGGGTCAAATTTTTGAAAATTCTTGAAGCTTTTAAAACACGATATTAACATCACATTCCATTCAGACTTGGCAAATCTCAATATTTCCATAAACAAAATATCTGTTATAATGATGGTTAAGATCGGGTCATTGCTTCTGGTACCTCCCCCACAAAAGGTCAACATTTTGAGTATCCATGAAGCTCATAAAACGCGAAATTAACATCCGATTCCATTCAGACTTGATACATCTCAATATTTCAATCAACAGAAGATCTGTTATAAAGATGGTACAGATCGGACCATTTCTTCTGGTACCTCCCCCACATAGGGTTCAAGATTCTAGCTTCAGCCATTTCATCTGGGACGCTGATGCTCAGTCAGTCAGTTATTTCACTACCCTTTTTAATATATAAAAGTTTCAAGATTCAATGCGAGAAAGAAAGCTTATCTTAGATTTCTCTTTACATACCTGATCGCAGACACACGGTAAACGTGTAAACACCGGGCCAACGTGGTGCTGTAAATTTCAATTGAATTTCCTCCCTTTCGACCAAATTTGTGACATGATAAGGTGCTGTCAGTAGAGTGCGTGATTTACGATCACAGATATATGTCCACCAGTATTCCTGTTTCTCTTCGGGGAAATAGGGACAGTGTACTGTGTGCGATATGCGTGATTTGCCTTCGAGTTTTTCGCGTTTATTCAATTTGGCTTGTAATCTTTCCCATTCTTCGTCATCGTCATCATCCAAAGATGAATTGTTCTTGGTTTGTTTCTCATTCTCTTCATCACTGTCCGAAATTGATTCTTTCTCCTCGACATCACTGGCGTCGGCATCTGAATCAGCCTCTGAATCATTTTGTTGTTGCGTTTCAGCAGCGGCTGCAGCCGCAGCAGCTTTAGTTGGTGGTGGTTGTTTCTTTTTCTGATTGGCAGCAGGCTTTTTGCCTCCCTTTCCTCCCTTGCCTTTACGTGGTTTAGCCCATGCGGAGGCTTTTTTAACGGGAGCTGCATTGACAGCTTCACCGTCCTCATCACCAGCAGCTTGTTCCTGTTCATCATCCCTAAAGAACAAAAAATAAACAGTAAATTAGTTTTACAAAAAAAGAATACACAATCCCATTTATTACATACTTAATGCCCTGCTTTTGTGGCACCTTTGAGTCACCAAATAATGTCTTCATATCCTTGCGTATCAGAGTGACCGTAACCGTAACGATAGCACCAGCTGTGACCACATTTGTGTTTTCATCATCGATAACTTCGCAGCGTATTGAAAAGTCAATTAGTGGCATTTTTCCCAAAACTTTCATTACATTCTCGTATTCAAAATCACTCAAGCTCTTCAATAGCTGACGACTTTCCTCCGGTGCCAATTGGGCGAATTGTTGAAGATTTTTAATGTGTCGTTTCTTGTTCATAAAATACAAATGGTCATCGGTGACATGTGGCAATTGAAGTAGAGGTGATTTAAACTCCCACAGTGCTTGAATAATCATTGGTGACATTTTCATACAATTCTCAATGGTCTCAATGCTGGGTAAACGTGGTACGCGTCTAGCGTAAGCCAACATTACTAATTGATGGACACATGATACCATTTCTTGCACTAGATATGGACATTTCTTAACAATGAATTGGCGATCTTTTTCAAGGGTTTCGGGATTAAGCGGTAATCGCGATAGATGGGCATGTAAAATTGCTCGGGCTTTTATGGAATACATGCGACACAATGGGTGTTCTTTGCATTTCTCATTCAAATTCGGTAGTTGACGGATCAGCTGAAAAATAAAGAAAAAAATATATTTATATTTAAAATTAACCAATCGTTAAAGTGCTTATTTGCGGTTTAGTGTAGCAAAAAAAGCAGAATATATATGGTTACGGTTCATGTAAGTAGGTATTCTTAATTTTAGAAGAAGGTACTTTGCATACGTTTCAAATAAACTGTAAAAGCTTCAGGTAAGTGTGGTTGAATGTTCAGTACATAACTCAATTTTTATGGTGCTTTGAGACCAAATAAATTTTCTACCTCGAACAAGTTACTAGTAACGAATAAATCAAAAAATGAATAACTCAAATGACAGTTCCTACGTTTAAGAAGACTTTAACAAGTAAAAAAAACAGCTATTTTTGGACCGGGCTGAACTTTATATACCCTCCACCAATCGAGAGGAACTTGACATTTTTCAAAAAAAAAAAATTCTCCGAAAAATACCGCTCAAGTGAAACCCTTTATATACATACATACATATATAAGCTATACAAAAACGTGGTGCTGCATAAGTTATTTTTTGTCGTAGGCTGTAGTAACGATTACGTTTACGCAAATTTGAAACAATTCCGGTGAATAATGCCGCTAATATCATCAAAATACCAAATAAGAGGAGGTACCATTGTATGAGGGTTATAGAAAGACGTGGACCTGCACAGGCAATTTTCTGTCTTAACCTGTGGTATGCATTACGAACTTCAAATACCAAATTTGAGATAATTCCGGCGATAAAATCATCAAAATACCGAATATCGGGAGGTGCCGTTATATGGGAGCCATACGAGGGCGTGGACCTGCACGGACAATTTTCTGTCATAGGCTATAGTATCCCTTACGAACTTCAAATACCAAATTTGAGACAATTCCGGTGAATAATGTCGCTAATATTATCAAAAAACCGAATATCGGAGGTGCCGCTATATGGCAGCTATACGAGGGCGTGGACCTGCACGGACAATTTTCTGTCATAGGCTGTAGTATCCATTAAGAACTTCGAATACCAAATTTGAAACAATTCCGGTGAATAATGTCGCTAATATCATCAAAATACCAAATAAGAGGAGGTACCATTGTATGAGGGCTATAGAAAGACGTGGACCTGCACAGGCAATTTTCTGTCTTAGCCTGTGGTATGCATTACGAACTTCAAATACCAAATTTGAGATAATTCCGGCGATAAAATCATCAAAATACCGAATATCGGGAGGTGCCGTTATATGGGAGCTATACAAAGGCGTGAACCTGTCCGAACAATTTTCTGTCATAAGCTGTAGTATCTATTTCGAACTTCAAATACCAAATTTGAAACAATTCCGGCGAATATTGTCGCTAATATCATCCAAATACCGAATATCGGAGATGCCGCTATATGGCAGCTATACGAGGGCGTGGACCTGCACGGACAATTTTCTGTCATAGGCTGTAGTATCCATTAAGAACTTCGAATACCAAATTTGAAACAATTCCGGTAAATAATGTCGCTTAAATCACCAAAAGACCGAATATTGGGAGGTACAATCATATGGGGCTATACCAAAACGTGGACCTACATGACCCATCTTCATTACCGAAAGTCCTGCAGACATACTATACATTTGAGTAAACTTTTATCAACCTACTTCATTTCGTTCGGAAGCTAGAGTGAATTTCACAGACGGACAGGCGGAAAAACGGACGGACATTTTATGCTGATCAAGAATATAAAAATTCTTTGTGGGATCCAAAATTTAAATTTCGAGGTGTTACAAACAGCATGACAAACTTAATATACCATCCATACTATGGTGGAGGGTATAAAAAGCCAATTATATTCAATAAATAGAAGTCTCTCTAGAATTATTCTAAAAATATAATTAAAAAAAAAAAAATAAAAAAAATCGGATCCTTTTAAAAATATATCCATAGAATATATGTATATACCCATACAAATAAAAAAAACATATACTTACTGCAGGAACTTCTTCATTGTCCGATTGACGTTCAACCACTTGGGAATTGTGGCGTTTATCAAACTCCAAACTGGCTGCCAATACCATCAAAGCACGCTTTAGCAACATGTGCGGGGTTTTATGGATGAAATAGAAATACATTTGCGTTGTATCCAACAAAACTTTGTCCCCAGAATAACGAATTGAACGGTACCACCACATACCCACAACGGAGGGTAAGGCAACCATAAATATGAGACCATAGAGACCCAAAACCCAAACGGAATTTTCCTTTTCAACTATCCATGAGGGTAGGGCAATGCCAAATGACATAGCACCTGGACCATCGGGATTACCATATTTTTCATAATTGCCTTTGGCAACTTCGTCCGTCAATGCCTGGTAGGCTTTGGACAGCATCATAAAGGCCTTTTCATCACCAGTCTCCTTATCCGGATGCAGGACAAGTGACAATTTATGGTAGGCTTTCTTGATTTCAGCCTTGGAAGCCGTCGGTTCTACCTTCAAGATTTCGAATGGATCAAAACTAGCCATTTCGTAGTCGAATTGGGAAACACGATATGCCAGGAATATCAAGAGCGCCCAGCCCAATACAAGTGCCAGTCTTATTGCCAGATTCTTTAGGGCTCGATAAGGTTCGGCAGCTGCCAGAATGGCTTTCTTTTTTAAGCAATCCGGGCACTGGCATTCTTCTCTGATCTTTTCGGGATCTGAAAAAGAAAATAAATAATTTATTTATAATCCATACGTCTCATTTTACTGTACCTATGCCAAGAAACAACTGTGTAAATACATATACGTAAAATGGAAATTAAAAATTACTTCGTTTTAAAGTCCAAGGCACGTTTTAAGCGCTCACACCAATTGTTTGTTGCCGTGAAATAGCAAAATATGTTAATAGCAGGTGGCACCAAACACCTATCTTTCTCATAAATGATCTCTGCTCTCTACAAATAAAACACAAAACACAAATTCTCCAAATAACCAAGAAAATGCGCTCTCTTTCTCGATGGCGGTGGCAGCAAAGCGCTTTCACTTCGACGAGAATAAATTGAACACACATAGAATAAATAATTGGAACGTAACCACCAGTTGTTCACACACAAAACTGTAAACGCCTTCGTCATTAGACAAAAAGCTAGGCTTCAAACATGCCTTAGTCAGTTCCGATGATGCATTTCCTCTATATGTATGTTACATTAACCTATATGCGCTTTAACATCTAAAAAGTCTTTTTCGATCAGGAGATAAGCTTGTCTATCGCAAATTTTGCACAATCACTCCCTCACTCACTCACCTTCTTTCTTTTTTCGTGGCCAATAGTAAATGGTTGTTGGTATTAGGACGAGTGCCAGGAACGATAATAGGAAATAATAGAATGTTCCGCCACTCTCATCATATTGAAATTTCTGACCAGCCATAGCTGTTGGCTACCCCTTTTAGGCCGCTTTTTTACCAAATTCCACTACTACTTGTTGAACACGTAGTTTTATTACCCAAATAATGTTGTATCGAAGCGTCTTGCGTACGAAACGCAATAAATACTGTAAACGAAGCTGGTAATTGTAAAAAATTTAAATTTTAAGCTACACTTCACTAAAAAAATAAACTTTTCTTTTCTCCATCCAGCCACACGACAAATTATGTTCTCTTCATTTTGTTTGACACGTCTTATTTTTGGCGGAGAGTAATTAGTACGTATTGTAACGTAGCTAAACAATCAGCTGACATTTCTTGAAAACTCAGTTAGTGAATCAAGTATCGTAATGTGAACTAACACAATGATATTTTAAAAAAGGGTGCCTGTTATAATTATTAAAAGAGTTGTGTGGCTAGATTATCTTGCTATGCAGATATCTAATGAAAAATATTTCATTTATAGAGAGTTTCCTTTTGACATTTCCTTCATTTGTAAACATTTTAATTTCGCTGTATTGCTATATATAAAATTCATGGTAGAAAAATACAGGTAGATGCATGGCTCAATGTATTTAGGGAGTAGCTTTGTTCTACCTTCTGTAATTGTGCCATGGGTAGATTCATCGACGCTTAAGAACAGTGATGTGTAATGTGAGGTTGTAGTATATATTTTTTAAAAATTTAATTTTTAAAAATTTCAATAATTTTTTATTCAACATTTTCAATTCCAAGATCGGTTTGATAGTTTTCCCAACAGCTGTGTCCATGCGACTACCTGTATTCTTATATATGTACAACTACTTACAAGAACACTGTTTTAGTACCCGAAAACTTGCATTGTTTTGAATTTTTAAATTTTTTGCTTTTGGGGAGAATATATTTTGACATTTAGGGATAAATCAAAACTTAGTCATATTTGAAATTCGATGTTGTGATAAATCCGTTAGGTTCTATTCTTCTTTTCGCGACTTTCACCTAATTTAAAATTTAGTGAAAAAAGTTCAAACCAAATAAAATGCAGATAAATAAAAATTCAAAACTGTTTTCCGAATAGAAATCACACTTTAAGCAAAGGTTTTTTTGTGGTCGTAGTCAGAAGTAACCCTCGGCTTACAAAAAAAAAAAATAGGCTGGCAATTTTATTATCAACGTGTATTTCCGTATGAATGTCAAAATTGCTATTTTACATGTGACTTATAACTCTTGCTATCACACACTTGCATATGTTATTTATTTTCTTTGGTTACATTGTGATTATATTATATTTTCTACAAAAAATGTATATAGGATGCTTTGTCCTGCCATATGTAATCGTGTCATGGGCGTTACATAAAATTCGACGTAGCGTACACAAATATTCAACTTCCGTATTCAACGTCCGTATTACCCAAATTCGCAAGTTTCATATCTATAAGTTGAAGATCCATTGACTTAAAGAAAACGAGATTATATTCACATTTTTATGCCCACAACACAACGGCATTTTCTTTTACCAACATATAAATGCTTTGCAATTTTCAATAATTTTCCTGAGTTAATGGAACAGAACCTATATTTACGTTAATTTTCATGCTGCCAACACAGAGGACATTTCAATCGCCAGCACATAATTTGATAAACTATTTGATAAACACAGCCTGCTTTTCCATCTGGTAACATTTGAAGTATTTTGAAAGGATGTGGCAACATCGAACAAACCATAGAATATTATAATAGAAACAAACGAAAATAATCGAGTCAAAAGCACACAGCAAACTGGACGGTCTCGTACAAAATTCACAAAAAATAACGTCAAATATTTAAACACAACTCTAAAACCGGTCGCATTCGTGTAGTGAAAACCCATAAAATGATGTGTATATTTTATAAAATGAATTGCCTAAAATATAACAAATTATTTGGAAAAATGTACAAGTTACAGCGAGTAAATGATGTGAACAAAAATTTTAGCAATTTTAGTGGGACCACGGAATATGGCTGAAACAAGTAAAGAAATTAGTGGTACCACTAATCGAACGAATGTGGCAAAGTGAGTGTTGTGATAATGAAAGATTAAAAGCAAATGCCAAAGTAGTTGTGACTAACGGACGCCAGGCGGTGCTAAGGTATGGCGACACTGTGAAATGCAACCCTGCTGTGTGGCCACTCTCGCTGATGTTTACGTGAGTGTATGTGTGCAAAACTAAAATATTGGTAATAGGTCCACACACGCCATATTTAATTTCTAACAGCAAAAAAAGCCATTTTTCGTTTAAATCAATGCAATTTTTCTCTGTGAAATTACGGAAAAATGTCAACAGTTCCTTGAGTAGTGTGTGTTGTTGAGTAGATTAATATAAATATTAATAAAATCCGAGAGATTAAAGCAGAAAAAGGTAAGTGAAAGAGATTTTTCGATGCGCAACAAAATGAATTTCATTTTTTGTTCATTCTCCGCTGTGCCATCCATCACATTTATTGGTGGCCACAAAAAGATGGGTTACAGACAATGACTTTGCTGTGATATTTGGCATTTTGTGAACTTCGAACGCGACTGAAGTGTGTAATCTGAAGTAAAGAATTAAATAATTTATGTGGAAAAATTGATTCCCAAAGTTATGCATGATGGAATTTTTCATTTGCTTTAATTTTCATTTCATTATGTGCGTGTGTTTGGTGTTTCTCATAATGTTTCCCTATTTACATTTGCAGTGTTGCCAGAATGGCCCATTATTATATACAAAGCCTTGATGACAACATAAAACTATATACAACGGATGTCCAAGTGGTTCATGTGGCCGGCGACGATGTTGGTGTCAGTAATCCAAATAGAGCACAGGTTCATAGTTCTAAATAAAATACTAACAACAATCCTTTTTTGATTTTCGTTATTGATTTTTGTTTTGTTTTATATTTTCCATTGTTTGCAATTAACCTTTCCTGCTTGATATTGATTTTTTTCTTTAGTTTAAGATAAGATGGTGATGGTTACGTTGTGTGCGCGTGTATGTTTGTTTACAAAGGAATACATTTTTCATTTATGTGTGTGAAATAGAAATATATATGTAATGGAAGGAGCCGAAATACAAGATTAAACATGAGAGTTTACTATCAAAATTGAAAAACAGATTAACTACAAAGTTTTCAATGTTTCATAAAATCATTCATATAACATCTATGAATGTGCTACATATCTTTGGAATGTGATCAAAATATAAGTTTTAACCCAAAGGCACTATTATCGAATATCTGCCATTAAAAAAATTAGAAAATATGATGAAAAAATAATATATTCCCTGCCTCTTATCCACAAACCAACCCCGAAGTTATCAAATTCCGAGTTTATTTCTTAGGGTTACCTATAAATTAAAAAATGTATTTTCTTGATCTTTTATGTGTTTTTTTGCTTTTATGTCTTTTTGAACTGATTACCAAGGGTTTGTCTAACCTACTGTGTCCTTTGCTCCTTTACAGCAAATCGTTATGGATGACAGTTCCCAAATTTTATTACAAAATGACGGTGGACCTCAGCAAGTGGTGTATCAGACACAAGCTACTCCCACACAATATCAGCCACCGCAACCCGGACAGACGTACACGATACTGGGCGATGATATTAACCAACAAACCCAGTCTCAAACCCAAATTCATCAACAACAAACCCAGCAACAGACACAACAGCAACAAGCACCACCACCCCAACACCAGCAACAACAAATCCTAATGCATCAACAGCAACAACAACAGCAGCCACAACAGCATCAAGTTATGGACCATCAGCAGCATCAAATGCAGACCACCTACCAATTGCAGCCAGATCCACAACAGCAGCATATGCAACAGGCCCAGGATCACCAAATGCAACATGTTCAAGCTGCAGCGCAACAGCAGCAGCCGCCGCCTCAAATTTATTACACCACAGATCAGTTGGTACATCAGCAACAACAACAACAGCAAAAGAAGGTATATATACAACAACAAGCTCCGCCGCAAACAATGCAACAACAGTATCAACCACATCCCCAACAGCAGCAGCAAACGCATCAACAAATGATGCACCAACAGCCTCCGCCGCCTCCTCAACAACAGCCGCAACAACACATTTTGCAGAGTTCGCAACATCAACAAGTCCAGGTACAACATCAAGTATCGTCCGGCAACCAACAGGCCCAGCAGCAACCTCAGATCATTTATCGCATGCAGCCACAACAACTGCAGACACAACAACAACTGCAACAGCAGACACAACTTTTGGGCAATGCCCAACTTATTGTCCAGCAACCCTCCGGTCAGCCGGTTCTTATTCAGCAATCTCCTCAACAGCAAGAACTCATTATGAGACAACAGCCTCGTGTCGTCTATGGAAATCGTATAAATTTTACTCCCCAACAATCACCGCAGCAGCAACAACAGCAGCAGGTCATAATGCAACAGGCCCAGCCGCATCAACAGCAACACATACAAATTCAGACCAATGCAATGCATCACAATCCCACCGGACACATGGTGCAGCAGGCTCGAGTGGTACCGCAACAACATCAGCAACAGGTGCAGCAACAACACAACAACCCGCCGCCGCCTCAACAACAAATGCAACAAAATGTCGTCTATCATCAAATACAGGTGCAGCAGAACAATCAAATGGCCAAACAAACAATGCAACAAAATGCCGTTGTTCATCCCCAACAACAACAGCAACAGCATATACAACAGCTGCAGCAGCAACATCAGCAACAGCAGGTCCAAATGGTGGGACAAATAAATAATCCAAATGGTGCCACAATCATTCGAACGGCAGGTGTAAGAGGTGGAAAGATAGCCCGGGGTGGCGTCAGCGGTACCCTAATCGCACGTATGCCGGGAATGGGGGCGGGTGTGGCCCGATCTGTATTTAACGCTGCCGGCACAATGGGTGGCGGTGGTGGGCAAATTCTGAGAACTCCCCGTCCGCGTTGTAGCACCACTGCCGGGACCACGACAAGAGGTCGTGGAGGTAGGGGAGCTCGTGGAGCAGCAGCCTTGGCCGCTGGTCGCGGTGTACAATTGGCAACGGCAGCAGGATTAAATCCCAATGCTCAACTGCATGGAAAACTCGTTGCATCCGGTCAAGTTCGCCAAGTGTTTCGCACCCAACATCAACTCAGCGATGGTAGTGTCCAGCAACAGCTTCACTTAGTGCAAGCCCAACCACGAGCCCCAGGAGCAGTGGCTCGTTTTAGATCGCCCGTACTAGGACAACAAGTTCAGCATCAACAACACAACCCCCAGCAAACATCTCCGCCCTCCTCACAAAATTCTAATCCCAGCGCTGGATCATCCAACTCCTCACCGGCTACTGGTAACTTCGAGTTGGATTTGGAAGACAGTATACAGGCAGTATTTGTAAAGAAGGATGGTCAAAAGCAGGCAATTGCAGCCAATGCAGCTGCCGGCGTCGCCTCAGCCGCAGGAGCAAACACTCAAAACACCAGTGCCACCACCAACGTAGCTGCGGCTGGTACCACTCTAACATCATGTTACGCCAAAAATCCCAACAATGACGACAATGGCACCTGCATGACATTGGCCGAATACAAGAAACGCAATGCAACAACCTCAGCCCAAGCTGCCGTTCAAGGCGCCAATACGATGCAATCGGGTATAAAACCACTGCAACAAACGTCGGCGGGTGGAAAAATTACGCTACCGGCTGCAGGTGGCCAATCGGTGCACACAGTTCCTGTTGCTCGTGTGGCTCCACAGAAACACATTGTTCCCAAGGAACAGTGCGGCGTCGCTGGGCCCAACCCTGCAGCTAGTCCCGTTCAAAATCGACCACCAGCCGGCTCGTCGGTTTATCAAACCTCCCACAACAATTACGAAATTCAGACACAACACGTCTTACAAAATCGTGCTGGCCAGCAAATGGCCGAAAAAGATCGCAACAGCGCCAAAATGTTGGTTATATTGGTGTCTGGAGAACAACGTTTGATTACCTTCACTCTGCCACGCGAATCCTGCACTGTTCAAGACTTGCTTGAGCAAGTGGGGGTACCATTCGATGACAACACCACAATACAATGTGTCGAAAATCCCGGCGCCAACATTGATTTTGTTGTGACTGTTGGCTTTTCGGTGCAAGAATCGGCCAGTGAATTGATATCCCGAGCGGAGCAAAGCCTTCAAATAAGTCGACAACAAGAAAGTTTACAACAAAATGCCGCTGGCCAAGCTGGCCATTCTAAGGGACAAGTAGAGCAGGGTTCGACAGCAGCAGCAGGGACACATCCTGCTGCGGCCACGGCAGGAAATCCCCCAAGTGGAAGTGCGGCAGCAGCAGCCAATGCTGCTCTGTCGGCCAACGCATCGACTTCTTCAAGTCCAGCACCTTCAGAAAGCTCCAACAAAGACCAAACTACACCTGCTTCGAAATTGGCTACAACTGGTAGTTCTACCAAACCACCCCAAGACGATGGCAGTGGTAGCAGTCAGCGAAAACTTATTCAAGGATTCTATGCCATATGTCAGAGTTGTGGCTTCAGTGGTTATGATCATTCGAAGTGTGAAAGATGTAAACGTGTCTTCTTGGAGCCACCTAAAAAGATACCCATCAAACAGGCCAACAATGCGGCTGGAAATTTCGGTAATCTCTCCGGTTCAGAATCCTCATTTGCCTCCAACACAATGCCCGGTGGTGATAAGAAGCAGAGGCATCACGGTGATCCGAATTCCACGCAAAGGGGTAAATCGTCGGGTCCTTATAATCCCAATGGTCCTCCGACCAGGGGTCGTGGTGGCTCACAAAGTGGTAGGGGACGGGGCAGTCGTTCCGGTCGCAGAGCTGCAGAAATAGAACCTGTTATTCTTACACTCAGCAGTGACGAGGAAGACGACGAGTCCTCGAACAAGGGAACCTCCAATGTATGTACAACTCAATTTGTCAAATAGTTTAAAGTTTAATGGTGTTTTGTTATATTTTTAGATGGGTCACTTTGCTAAATCATCGATTAATTCTTCACCTGCGTCTTTGATGTCATCCTATAAACCTCTGTCGTTTGAACCAAATATTCCGGAGAATGATGAAACCATCATTTACAGTGGTAAGTCAAAACACATTGCCCTTAAAATAGAGATGATATTTTGGCGAAATTGTACCAAAATTGCGTTTTGTAATAATGTTACGTCTATGCACAAAATTACAAAGAAAGTGACGGTCAAGGTCAAAGTTTCCATTAGAAAGTGGCCACATTTAATTGACTGACAGTTTAGTTATTTTTATAGCGATTTAGCGGGTTTTTATTTTTATAGCGATTTTGTAAGATGTGAACATGCAATATCTATTTTTAATGGATATTTTACTAAAAGAAATCATCTATAATATTTGATCCAATATTTGCATGAATGTTTGTTTATTCCCGGCATTCTTTTGTGTTTGTTCGAATTGTGTCAATTTTGCACAATCTGGCCACTCAATTTGCTCTCAATGTTACCGTATTTCGTGTACTTCTTGGCCAAATGGTATTACTATTCACCGCTAGGCGTCCCCCATGTGAGTTTTAGAGTCGTTTTGACACTGACAGTTGGACGCCATTGTTTTCATAAAGAAATATGTAATAAAAAAGAGTACGAAGCAAAAGTGTGAAAGAAACACGAATTGGGACCGTATTTTCGCAGAAAACGAAAAATTGTTGAAATAAGTTGCAGTTTTTTGTTTATTTTTGTATAAATAAAGCTGGGAAAAGTAAAATTTCTTAAAAATGGAGTGGAATGGTAATAAAGAAAATAAGACTTCTGCTACAATTAATGCTCCGCATGATGTACCTGTGTGTGGTGTATTTGTTGTGTGTATTCTCTCCGGCAAGAAGAATACATTATTAACACGTTTTCTTCTCTATTTGATATCGAGCAACTTTAGGTGTTGATGTGTTTAAAAAAATTGTATTTTTCTTCCTATTTAGATTTCAAACGTGGAGACATAACTGATCTCTCCAACTGTAGTGATAAGCTAAGCTGCACCTTGCCTTGTAAATATATACGTTTAGGTACATACTGTTTTGAGCCTCCCGAACAGGTAAGATCAAATGTCCTATTGCATACCTAGGTCACCTAATTATTGTAAACAAAAATTGCAGGTGGTTATAACCTCTAAAGGTGTACGCATTGTTGCTCCACTGGAAAGCAATCCCTCGGAGACCTTCCCCCTGCACATACACAAGCAGGAGGTAGTAAAGGTGATTGCTCATTTTTCAAAAACCACAGATTCGATGTTGTGTTTTTATACGCTACGAACCTGTGCTCAGTATATACGTACTTCTTTGAAGATGCCCGATATAACACAACCTATAGATGGAGGTAAGTTATTATTAGTTATGTATGTGTTGCTATAGTGATATGCTGCTTATTCTATTTTAGTTACATATTTCGCACCAAACGGGCCGTATCAAATGCGAAAAATTATTATTCAGTTCCAAACAATATCGGATCAGGCTAAAAGTGTTATACGCTCTATATGGGATTTTCTTGATGAAATTTCCGATACCGATGCCCAAGATCTGCTGCAAAGAGCGGCAGAATCTGATCGCAAGGTGGCCACCAATAAAAATAATAGGTAAGTTGAAGTGAAAAAGAAAATGTCATTATCAGTGGATGCAAAACACAATTTCGATGTTTTAAAAACTTGGTTTCAAATTGTTCTCGTTTTTATTTTTTGCAGCGAAAATACCCCAACAACCACACAACTGCAACCCAACGAGATACGTCAGCTCCTTATTTATCCCCAAGGCAAAGGCGGTATTTCCATTAACACCGAAGATTACATGTGTTTGGCAACAGATCAATATTTAAATGACATCATAATTGATTTCTATTTGAAGTGGGTTCATGAAAACATCATTCCAGACGCACAAAAAGAGCGCACCCATATCTTTAGTACGTTCTTTTATAAACGCTTGACGACACTAACACGCCATATAAATCATGACAAGGATGTGAAACAATCTGCAGCTCAAAAGCGTCATGCTCGGGTACAAAACTGGACGAAAAATGTTAATCTTTTCGAAAAGGATTTCATTATAATACCCATAAATGAACAGTCGCATTGGTTCCTGGCCATTATATGTTTTCCTAAGCTCAAAGGTCCGGTTACCTTTGATACACATGTACCGGTTGAACTGCAACCCATAAAAAAGACAAGTAAGTTTCCATGCCCGTTCGAAGTTGAAATGTAAATTTTTTATTAATTTCCGTTTTTTTTTTTTTTTGCTAATGAACAGAAGGCAAAAAGGTGTCACTGCAAATTGGTAATACCACAATAACACCACTCTCCAAACGCGATAGTTCTAATGTTTTAAGTGAAATTTGTGGTGTTGGGGATGATGATAGTGAACGCGATGAAGCCGAGGGAGATGACAGCGATTTGGCTTCGGAGGATAGTGACTTTGATAATTCGAATTCAACAACACCCAGCAATTCACAGCCAGCAGTACCAGTTGTGGCGGGAGCTACAGCGGCCAATACCGCCTCATCGGCCCATCAACCAATTAAACAGCCCTTGATTCTAATATTTGATTCCTTGGCGGGTGCCTCTAGAAGTCGTGTGGTGGCCACATTGCGTGACTATCTAACGTGTGAATATAAAATTAAAATGCCTGAAGCCCCATTACATGCCTTCAACAAGGACAACATGCCCGGACATTGTGTTAAAGTTCCTCAACAAAACAATTTTACCGATTGCGGTCTATATCTACTGCAATATGTGGAGCAATTTTTCAAAGATCCCATACGCGATTATAGGGTGCCCATAAAACAGTTGGCCAATTGGTTTGATACACTCACAGTTACCAAGAAAAGAGAAGATATATCCAATCTCATACAATCATTGATGGATGAGCGCAACGGGCCAAATAATAAAATTATACTACCCGAAATACCATTTCCCACTCTAAATGGTCAACTGGTTGAACCAGATGGTTACAATATTGAATTTGAAGAGGAGGAGATGGAAGATGACGAAGATGTAAGTAAATCTAAATAGAGTGGCCAAGGTGTAAAATTACATTAAATTATTTTTGTTTTTTATTGTTAGGATGATAATCAGACAGGTGATATGGATGATGTTTCAAACGAAGATATGAGTAAATCTAAAACTCCAATAAAAGTTGGCACTTCAACACCAACAACAATAGCTGCAACAGCTGCCAGCTCCGCCAACACTACTATGCCAACGCTTGTGCCAACCCAAGGCCGGAAAATTGTACTGAAACGAAGAATGCAGCTACCAGGTGGTCCCAATGAAACCAGCTCATCTTCGTCTCCTTCCCTGGGCAGCCACAATACATCGTCTTGTCAAACACCGCCTGGTCCAGCCATTGCTGCCGCCGGCCAACAGCAACGTCCCCCAAATATGACAAAAATACGCAAACTGGAGCCATAATTCAATCATACCTCCGGCCACAATTATACATTACTATAAATATGATTTAGTTATATTATTACCAATCAATCAATCAACCAACACACACACACAAGCAACAAGAACATGCAGAAATTCTTGTTAAAAACACCCTCTCCCCCCATTATCATCATACTTGATCGTTTTATGTTTTTAATTTTAGTAATACTCTAAAGATTTTGTTTCTTTATGATATATATAATTGTTTTTATAAAATAATTATTTTAGAGTTTAGTTGGAAAATTTGTTAAGTTGCCTAGTAGGACCTTGTACGGAAGGAAAACGAAAACGAAAAGAGAATTAACTTTTCGTCTCGAAAAAAACTGATTTTTATAAAAAAATACTACATAATACGCATTTTGTTCATTTTATTTTTGATACAGGCAATGTAAATAGCTTCTCTGCACACCCAAATCCTCATCTCTTTCATTTATTATTTATATATATATAAAAAACAAAGCGTAATTTTAATATGATTAAAATATGTACTCTAACCAACCACTTAAAAACAAAAAGTTTCAAATAGAAAAAAAAGAGAAAACTAAGAAGAAATTAAAGCAAGTGGTTTGAAATCTTAACCTATCTTTACATAAACTATGAACAAAATATAAATAAAAAACAACAAATTTACAAAAATATTTACTGCCTCTTTTCTCTTGGGGAGTTGTGTTTAGGCGAGAGATAGAATAAATGATAAGAATCGTTACCAACCTGAACATGATGATATGACAGCTTTTAATTGAGGCCAATTGCCGCCAGATATGCGTAGAACTGGAACTCACAACACAATAATTTCTATGATATATTCCAACTCTAACATCAGAACGCCAAAATAGAAGGTGAGATAAAAGACTGCAACAAAGTCGAACGCCATAATTTTTAGTTTTTTTTTTTAAATTTTATTGAATTAAATTGAAAATGTCGGAAATAGCATAAAGTTTTAGAATAAGTTTAGATTTGTTCGAATTGGTAACGTTTGGCACGAATTATGGGCTTTAAACGGCCAATGAAACCGTCACACGCTGCCCGAATGTTGCTCTGTGGTTGTTTTGGCCCATTCCCGTCGAAGCGCTTGCTTGAGGGTATTTTTTAGTGCCAACCTTGCTTTCCAAAATACTCCAGACACAATATTCCAACGGATTGGTATCCGGAGATTTTGATGGCCATTGTGCACTGGAAATGAAGCGAGGAACCTCTTTTGTAACCATTTTTGGGTGACCTGGCGTGCTTAGTGTTATGGTGCTGAGTCCTGTTGGAATGTCCAAGGTCTGCGGCCAAAATGTTTTGCATGCCCAAGGCTTTAATACACCCTCCAGAATATTTTCGCTATAATATTCGGTATTTATTCTGATGCCACGGTCGAATTAATACGAGCGGAGAGCGACCATCGGCTGTTATGGCGGCCCACACCATCACCATGGCCGGCGCTTGAGTTTTGGTGGCCAACCGAAGGTGCACATTTTCAGCTGACCTCTTGGGCAAGTAAACACGATCGAATGTTTTCTCATCGGAAACGGAGAAAACCGAATTCGGCAGCTCACCACTTTCGGCCCATCGAAGCAACTCTTTAGCTCTTTTGAGTCTATTTTCTTTCTGTTGCGGTGTAAGTTCTTGCACTTTTTGCAATTTCAATGGCTTTACCCCAAGCTTATTTTTCAATATTTGTCAAATGGAATATTGCGATATGTTCAGTTCAGGATTCAATCAAGTCGCTTCATTATTTTTCGAACCATTTCTGCTGATGTTGCTCTGTTTTCTTCCGTCCATTTCCTTGACGTCGGGCTATGCTACCCGTATCGCGGTAACGAGCGATGGTACGAGACACAAAAGATTTATTCACATTTAAATGCTGGAGTGCTCTAATGATAGCCACTTGTGGTTGTCCAGCCAAATATAAAGAAATTGCCCTATCACGCTTGAATTCCATCATTTATTGAAAAAAAGTCTTACCAAAATGCTTTTGTACGCTTGTAAACGATATAATGAGCTGTCACTGGAATAATTTTAACGAGTGGCCTAGAAATGACAGCAGTCTGAAGTTGGTTGCAGTTTTTCATCTCACCTTGTACAGTTACCCTTCCGTTTACAGAATTTAAAAAACGGTGCTTAGAAGAAATGAAAAAAATAACAAAATTTTTTTAAATTACTTTAAAAGGTTAAATTTCGTTTGCTGGAGTTATCTGTTATTCCTTTGTTCATCAGCATGATCAAGCATGATTTTTAATTCGTGGTTTAAAATAATATTGCATCTAAACATAATTTCAATTTCAAAACAGAGAGTTTTGAAATTTAGTAAAAACAGTAAAATACCAAAAAAACTTCTTTAATCAGTTTATTTCATAAAAATAATTTACATTAGTAAATGGGGTACAAACTTTATGAAGTACCATCCAACAAGTTCCAATCACATCTAATTGGATAATAAATATTCAACATTCTACCTAGCTACTGTGTGTCTTGAACACCAGATGCAGCAACAGCGTTGACTTTATTTACCAGAACACATCTCGCTCTCTACAACCCCCTGCCAGTCCATAAGAGATCAATGTGTTTCTCATAGAGCAATTGCAACATTTCTCTTCTTACTGTGTGTTGTTGGTGTTTCCTTTACTTTATGAATTCTTTGCTTGAAATGCATGTATGTTAACTGAAAAACTGGATTCCACAAACATACATGACAAATTAGCGCCAGAAAATATTTTAGATTTCCATGTCTTAAAATGAAAAAATAGCGAGGGGACCGACAGCTAAGTAACTATTTTATGTTCAAACTTTAAGCGAACACTTTTCCAATGTGTTTATTATGTTGTCTATTTTTTGGGGGAGACGAATTTGTTTTATTCAATTGCGTATCATGTATTTTAATTTTCAACACCTTACCATGTATGTTCTGTTGCAAAAGTTAGGTTAATGTTTACAGGGTAAGAGAGAGATAGAGTGAGAGAAAAAAACCAAATAAATCTCTCTCCATCTCATTTTCTCAGAGAGTTCTCAATTATGGTGCATGCATAAAAAATACGAACACGAAGGAATGTAAACAAACGAAGGAAAACAGAAGAAAACAAAAATAACAACAACCACTGTAACCAACTATGAATCAAAATATTAATTATTGTTTTGAATTAAAAAAGCAAATGGTAAATAACTAATAACTGATTTATAACGGAAAAATTACGTAACCACAATAAAACATTTTATTTTTTTTTGTAAAGCAATTAATTATTTACATCTTTATTATATTTAATTTACATCAACGTTTTATTATCTATTATTTACATCAGCTGTTTTGTTTTACAGCCCCCTAAACTACCCCCCACAACGGCAACACAACACCCATTGTACTCAACAAAAAACCAACTCACCCTACTTCGCTCTTAGATCATTGTTAATGGGTTTGTTTTGATTTGTTTGCTTGCTTGCTGGATGGCGGGCTGGCTGGCTGGCTGCTACTCTTGTAGGCAGTTTTTGTTTTTGCCTCTCCTCTTTCATGCAGTTCCATTACAGCATGTATGTCAGCTAACATACATGATGGTATGCCAACAATGTTAACACAACTTACAAGAGAAACAATAAAGAAAATTACTAAAATTTCGTCAAATTTTTAATAACGGCATAACAATTTATATTTCTTTGATTTTTTATTTAATTAGTCAATGAATTTGTTTATATTTTTCATTTAATTTGGTCTGCCTATGTGCCATGTATTTCCCCAAATTAATAGATGAGGTTAAATGTTAGTTTTTTATTGTTGTATTTCATGCTCTTAATCATGTTCTCACTCACTCACTCTCTCTATTTCTTACTCATTCCTCTATTGTCTCGCACTGTCATAATTATAATGTTAATCATGTTGCCAGACTGTTAGAATAATACCAAAAAGTAAATAACCGGGAACAAGAATTATTTGATAACATGAGAAAATGTCAAAGTTGTCAAAGAAGAGAAAGAAATTATAAATAAATTACAATAAATTCTTTAAAAGTTACAATTTCTCTCTACAACAATTAAAAAAATATTAAAATATTCTTATCTTTTATTCTCTATATTCTTATCTTATCATTTGTTTTTGTTGTCCGTTTTGTTTACCCTTGTTCGTAATTAATTGGCATCCTTGTTGTTATTGTTGGTAAATGACGTTTATATTGCCGTTCGTCATTAATGAGTCATTTACTTACATTTTAGTTATAGAGAACAAAACAAACCCAGAACGCAGGTGAACGGAAAGTTATCAAGATGTTTAGCAGCAAGCCCAATTATACAAAATTAAAAACCAATTTAAAATTGGCTGTGAATCGTCTAAAACTTTTGGAAAAGAAAAAGTCCGAAATTGCCCAGAAGTCACGCAAAGAAATTGCCGATTTCTTGGCCACGGGAAAAACGGAAAGGGCTCGCATTCGTGTGGAGCACATAATTAGGTAAGTTACTCAAGAGAATACCTACTTTCACGTTTTATCATTTGGATTTTTATAACAGGGAAGACTACCTGGTAGAGGCAATGGAAGTTGTGGAAATGTATTGCGACTTATTGTTGGCCCGTTTTGGTTTGGTAACACAGATGAAGGAGTTGGATGATGGCATTGCCGAAGCCGTATCTAGCGTAGTATGGGTTTGCCCACGTCTCCAAAGTGATATTGCTGAACTGAAAGTTATTTCCGATATATTTATACAAAAATATGGTCCAGAATTTGCCGAAAAGACACGCACCGCCACCGGCGATCATCGAGTCTCAGAGAAGTTAATGCATAAATTGCAATTGCAGGCTCCACCCAAGCTATTGGTGGAAAAGTATCTAATTGAAATTGCCAAGAATTACAATATTGAATATGAACCTGACCCACAGGTTATAAATGATGATCAAGGTAGTGTTGCCAGTAAATGACCAATGACTTTTAACTGATTTTCTATTTCGCTTAGGAAAAGACCAATCGTTGATAGACTTATCGGATCGCAACAATTTGGGTGGCAGTGGTGAACCACCCCAAATGGGCTTCATTGGCTATCCATCATTGCCGCCGTTGCCGACAGTTCCCAACAATAAACCCTTCAATTATCCACCACCATATGGTGGCGGCGGTGGTGGGGGTTCTGCAGCCGCTCCTTTGCCCTATGCTGGGCCTTCGGCTGCCACTGGAGGAGCAGCAGCTGGTGGTCCACCACCATTCAGCTATAATATACCACCAAATGTGACAGCATCAGGAGGACCAAACAACGAAGTAAAGGATTTGAATACAGAGTTTATTAACGTAAGTTTTGTGCACAATGTCTCATATACACGAAAACAGCTACAGAACATAAGTGGCCAGGGTAAAACATTTGCCAGATAATGCTTGAAATAACCCCATGTTAGAGTTGAGTTAACAGATTGCATTTGGATCTTACGGAAATCTGTATCACATGTAAACTAAAAAAATTGAATCTAAGAAGACGAAGAACAACGAACACATAGATATTACCAAACATATATTTGGTGTTGGTTCAAAGCCAAAGAAAACAGTACTTAAATGTCTCATAATTTTAAGAACATTATGTCCCCAAAAAGTCTTTGGTTTTAGTCACACGAATTCTAATTCAGTACTTCAACTAGGTGTGGGTTCTTTTTAGTTTTTTTTTTTACTATTGGAAAATTAAACAAGCTTTTCTCGGGAAATATCAGTTTCTACATTTTCAATATCAAAGACTGATTTTCTGCAAACTTAAAAATAACTTTAAAATTGGCCCAACTAGTGGCAACTTTGTGCTTATGAAATATTTTCGGTCGTGACATTTCTATTTATCTAACTTTTATTACATTGCATGTCTACAAACATTAACCTATTGCTCTAATACTAACACAGAAGGAGGCAATTAACGAAATGCCATCAACGTCCCAACTCGATGATGATGAGTCAATTGATTCAAACATTTTGGTATGTTTTATTTTTGAATACTCTGTCTGCGTCTTTTCCTGTGTGATTGTCCATTGAAACTATATGTATTTATTTCGGCAGCAGCTTTTACATTCATGTCCTAACACATCCATGCACTACACATTGAAAACAAAAACTTCTTTTTAGTTTGCTTTGCCCTGTTTTATTATTTTCTTTTTATTTTGATTTTTTTTGTGAATATAGCGCCAGAAAATGGACAATGATCCTCCACCACGTTATAGTTCAATTAATCCAATGAATTTGCAGGTAGTCCTATTGTTGCACTATGTTTCTAACCAATCCATAAATCTAAAAATCACTTCCAACATCGATTTTCTTATTTGATTATGATTCTCTTGCAGAACGCCAATAAACCAAAGCCTCAACCACGTAGCAAATTGCCACCACCTACAGTGCAACCCAGTGCACCACCACCATCAATGGAAATGCCTCAATTACCAAATGTTCCAATGGATTTGCCAGACATACCATCCGATGATATCAAACCCAATAACAATGATGACGACATTGATTTTGATGACTTGTCGAAACGTTTTGAAAATCTTAAAAAACGTAGATAAGCCCATGCAGTTATTTTACAAGTTTTATACTTATGTGAGATTGAATTTCGCAACTACCTATGTTAAGCTACATGTATTTATATAGTATGTCATTCGAAAAAAGCAAATTATTGTATGTTATGTTATTGATTGTATGTGTATTGTATAAAAAGACAACAAACAAAAATATATAAAAATTATAATAAATTACAGATTTATTCTTTAAAATATCTCTTCCGTTTCTATGACCTCTTTGAGTTCCAACAGTTCCACTAAACCTTTGCCTTTGGTATCGTTGCGTACCAATTCATCGATTATGCGATAATTTCCAGGATCTATCAACAGGGTCATGTGCAATGTTGATTCGTCCCATTCTTCGTGTTCCACGGAAGCTGCCAACTTTACAATGGCTTCCTTTAATTTTGGTCCATTATCCTTTTTGGCTGCAAACGAAACTCGTAGCTTCATGCGGGAGCGTTCAATTGGCATGTGATCTTTTAATAATTTAATCGCATCCAGTGTTTGTTGTTTTGTATTACGATTTGGTTTTATTGAAAAGTGTGCCTCTTTTAGAGATTTCTCGATAATTGTAGTGGGGTAGGGTCGACGTGTTTCGGGATTTACACATAGCGCAGCAACACTGTTTATTATGCTGTTTAATTGTGTATCATGTACGGACTGTCGTTCTTTTTCCGAAACCTGCAGCTCACCTTTCATGAGAATTTCTTTGCATATTTCAGTCTCATCCGTTTTACCAAATGCTTTTTGCAGTTCATCCTTTTTGGCAGCCTGGCCCTTGGAAACGTTTGTGAAAACTGTGTGCGTCTGTAGGACTTCATCAATGTCTTTCTCTCTGCAAAATAAAATAACGAAAATTAATAATAAATTCTTAACATTAGATAATTGTAAAAAGCAAGAGGTGAATCATCCAAAACATTTTCTGCAGCATAGGGCTGTACCAATGGACAACACTGAATTCCTCAACATGTGCATGGCATGCATATTTTGGCATGGGTGTTCGATCATGGTTCTGGAATTTTACTTACACATTACTTCTCCAGCTCAAAACTTTGTTTTTATAGCAGGCTATCTCAAAACGTTTTCCTCCCTTCTTTAGACGGACTACAGCTACATTTGTAAGGCGTATTTGATTCGTTGGTGTGAATATTTTCGACATTGTGCTGTCCTCTTATTTTACAAATGTTGTGTTATTTATTTAAAATTCAATTCTAGTTCAATGTGAATATTCATTGAAAGGAGGTATAGTTTCCTTTTAGTGAATATTTGATTTGAACAGTTGTTCAGCTGTTGATTTCATCATATAAGGTAATGGTGTACCATAAAGTGTGGCGTAGAATATTTGGTACATGTACGAAAAGTAGACAAACAGACATGAAAAAGCTTAAATTTATGGCACAAACGGAAAGGAAATAGAAAAAATAATTTCGTACTAGAGTATTTTAGAATTATGGTAGAATTAAGAAGGAATATTCATTTCAGAAAAGCATATGTACCTCTGCTTTTCTGTAATTTATCGTGACTAATTCAAATGAACAGATCTCTGATTAGTGTATATGAAATGGATTTATGAATGTATTTTGAAAGTAAGATGTTGTCAAAAATGGTCGGGCGAAGCTACCTCCTTTATTTTGCTACGATTTTAGAATTAATCCACATTTTAGATATTCTGAAGGTTTTTGTAACACCTTAAAAGATACATTTTAGAATAGTATATTTTATTCTTGATCAGCATAAAATTATATGTCGATTAAGTGGTGTCTGTCCGTCTGTGAAAATCACTTTAGCTTCCGAAGAGAAATGAAGCAGGACTTTTGGTATTGAAAATGGGCCATGTACGTCCACGTTTTGCTGTAGCTCCCATATATTTGTACCTTCCTTTTTTCGGTATTTTGATAATTTTATCGACATTATTCACCTGAATTGTTCCATGGATTTTACAGCCTATGACAGAAAATTGTCCATGCAGGTCCACGCCTTCGTATAGCTCCCATATAACGGTACCTTCCGACATTCGGTATTTTGATGATTTTAGCGACATTATTCACCGGAATTTTTTATTTGAAGTTCGTAATCGTCCAGGTCCACGTTTTGGTATAACCCCCTTTTTCGGAATTTTCATGATTTTAGCTATATTATTCACCGATTTTTTTTTTAGTTTCGCATTTGAATATTGTAATGGCTTATGACAAAAGTTGCCTATGCCGGTCCACGTCGTCGTATAGACACTAATATAACGGTTACATTCGGTCTTTTTAAGATTTTAACAGCATTTTTAACGGATTTCGGCCTGGCCGAACTTACAGTTTTTTAATTGCTTATTCATGAAAGGAACATTTAAGGGAACAAAAAAAGAAATTTAATGCTATATTTGTAAAAATATATAGTTTTTAACAGAATTAAAAACGGAAGCTCCTAATTTTCATTGGGCCCACTCAGCAATTATTGATCATGGATTTCTGGTTAAAAAAATGTCATTGTGGCTCAAAATTAAAAACCATTAAAATTATTTTTCAATCTATTTACATTTATTTACTAAATTTCAACTCAAACCTTTTAGGAAAACATTCATGAACCTCCAATTTCAGCATCGTCTATTTTACAAACGACAGATGACAGAAGAAATTAAATCACAATTTAAAGTGTAAAATTATGCCGGAAAATTGAGATTTTAGGACTAAACAAACCAAAATTTTCCTCCTATATTCGAATATATGATGATCAAACCTCAAGGAAATAACACAGGATGTTAAAATGTATCATAGTAGTGAGTTCAATTTTTTTAATTATTCTACAATTGTTAATTGAGTTAATTGAAATTTATATAAATATAAATTACAATTACTCCCCGGCAATGGAAAAAATCCTGGTAAATTCTGATAATTTAACTGCCATCTTCAATTGTGAATAATGGGACATGTGGTGAAATTGGAAATTGCATGTTTCCTGCGAAAAAGTTTACGTTTTCTCAACAATTTTCAAAACATAAAAAATATATTTTAATAATTTTGATGACAACACAGTACTATCATTGATCCATTGACTGCTTTCCAAATATTGCTCTTTGAGAGCTATTTGAAACGAAAGTTAATGACAATGATAGAGAGAGCGCATGTGATTGGTAACAAAACTTATAAACATAATAAGCTATAGTGGTTAGTTAATTGCTAAATATAGGTATAGGTATGTATATTGTTAAAAAATATATGTATGTAGGTTTGTTATAATTGAGCTGGCTTCTACGAGACAAGGTCTTCGACAATCTATCAAACTTCTTGACTTGGCTCCTGATGAGACTCCGTTTCACAAGACTCCATGGCATCTGTCAATGTTTCTTGATGTTCCTCTTCGCCATGGACTTCGGGTAATGGCGGTGCGGATGGTTCTTTGTAGTCGGCATAGATCTCGGCTCGTTGTTTGATAATCTCTTGTATTATGACCGTAAGAATTTCACGTGAGTCCACAATGTGGCCAACTTCTTCAGCCACTTCTGCCGATAGCCATGGACAAAGAGTTTCCATGAGATTTTCACGCTTGGCAGCATCTGTGGCAGGTTCGAGATTGTCCAAAATTTCGGGTAGAATGCTGGCAATGTGGCCTTGTAACAATTTGGCGGCGGTGACTTCTTGTTGCATATCATTATCCAAGGATTTGGCAATTTCATCTTGTCGCAGACGTCTTTCCTTTTCGGCCTGTAAACGTAACTCCTCGGCCTCAAGGCGACGCAATTCGGCCAATTCAGCTTTTCGTTGGGCAAGAAGTCTGGGAGACAAGGGGAAATTAATTAGTGCTACATATGTTATAATAATCTCAATTTGGGGTACTTACTCTGCTTGTTTCTCTCGTATGTGATTGATTTCTCTTTCATGGGCCACCTCCAATATGCTCAACTCCAATGTACTATCCACCAACGCATCAATAATTGGCTGGGCTTCTTCATCGAACTGGAAGAGTTCACCATCACATATTTCGGTGGCCACATCAACACCAATTTTGGCCGGCACATAGGGTGGTGTTGGAGGTTTCTCCAGAAACAGATCTGTTTGGGTTTCCACCGATTGTTCGGGTGGCCTTGCTACCAATTCTTCCAGATACTTTTCGGTTTGTACATCCTCATGGCGTCGTCCTGTGACTGGCGGTGGAGTGCCCAACACATTTCGTTGATTTCGATGGCTAACATTCTTTTTACGCAATGCCTGACGTCTGCGTAATTCGGCCGCCTTGTCAAAGGGATCATAGTCACTCTGTGAACGGGGAGGGGGAGAGAGAGGGAGGGAGAATGGGTAAAAAGTATGTTATTATTTGATTGGTTGCCGTAACACTTTGTAAATAAAATTTCAATTTCTGTCACATTTGTAAGAGTGGTTATTAATGAATGCTTAACATGCCAAATGCAATTAATTTGACCACAAGTAGTCTGGCCGACACCATCCCCTGGGGTGCGAAAAACCCAAACGACCTACATTGCAGTTTTGAAAAAAAATATGTTATAAAAATAATATTGTTGTCTAAGGACAGTTCCATGGTACTATGGACAGTACTGATAGATGATTATTATCCCGCATTTTCAATCGAATTAGCATTAAATTCATTACAGGAAATTGTCAGCGTCAGTTTCCGTTTTAGTACAGAATCCATGTGGGAGGTAATTTTAAGGTTTTGGTAAGATTTTTAAACCGGTTATTCTGGGGTTTTGATCCTTAAAGACTGACTTAAAATAAAACGCCATTCGAGGACTACACAAGATCTAACAGCACCGAGAACGTTTGCCTAAGATGAAGGGTAGATTTTTTATTATTTTATTAAAATATGCCTTTCGTCGTACGTCAATATTTTAGGTTTGACATTAAGTTTTTATACCAACATCAATCAGTATGGAGGGTATATTAAGTTTGTCATCCTCGAAATATACATTTTAGACCCACAAAGGATATATATTCTTGATCAGCATAAAATTCTATGTCGATTTTGCTATGTCCGACCGTCTGTCCGTCTGAGGAAATCACTCTAGCTTTCGAACGAAATAAAGTAGGTTGATAAAATTTTACTCAGATGTGTGTTTATTCTGCAGGGCTTTTGGTATGGAAAATGGGCTACATAGGTCCACGTCTTGGTAAAGCCCTCATATAACTGTACCGACAGATTTAAGGTTTTTTTTGAAGATTTAGCTACCAAATTTGCTGTAAATTGGCAGCATATGTTCTCATTATGTAAGAAACGTCTTTGCAAAGAACTGTCAATGTAGGTCTAAGTTTTGATATAGTCCGCATATAACTGTTCCTCCTAATATTCGTTATTTTGATGATTTTTGCAACAGTTTCTACCGGAACTATTTTAAATTTGCAATTTGGAGATCTTAATGGGTACTACATCCTATGACAAAAAGTCGCGTATGCAAGTCCAGGTCTTCGTATAGCCCCCATATAACGGTACCTCCCGATATTCGATATTTTGATGATTTTAGGGACATTTTCACCCAAATTGTTTCAAATTTCGTATTTGAAGTTAGTAATAAGTACTACAACCTATGGCAGAAAATTGTTAATGCTCGTCCACTTCTTCGTATGGCCTCCCATACAACCGTACCTCCCGATATTCGGTATGTTGATGATTTTAGCGACATTATTCAACGGAATTCTTTCAAATTTCGTATTTGAAGTTTATATTGCGTATTACAACCGATGACAGAAAATTGCCTATGCAAGTCTTCGTCTTTGTATAGCCCCTATATAATGATACCTCCCGATATTCGTTATTTTGATGATTTTAGCGACATTATTCAACGGAATTCTTTCAAATTTCGTATTTGAAGTTTGTAATGGGTACAACACCCTATGACAAAAAATTGTCTATGCAGGTCCAAGTCTTTGTATAGTTCACATAAAACGGTACCTCGTGATATTCGTTATTTTGATGATTTTCGCGACATTATTCGCCGGAATTATTTTATATTTTGCATTTGAGGTTTGTAATGGGTACTACGACCTATGAGAGAAAATTGTCTATGCAGGTCCAAGTCTTTGTAAAGTCCATATATACCGGTACCTCCCGATATTCGGTATTTTGATAATTTTAGCGACATTATTCACCAGAATTGTTTCAAATTTCGTATTTGAAGTTTGTAATGGATATTACAGCCTATGACAGAAAATTCTCTATGCAGGTCCAAGTCTTTGTATAGCTCACATACGGAATCGGTACTACAGCATATGACAGATAACAACTTATGTAATTATCTTCTTATAACGGGTTTCATTGTTCATTATTCAAATTACTTTCAAATGGAGGATGGTATTTAAAGTTCCGAACTTTGTTTATGGCTTGGTTTAATTCTGACGTAATTTGGCAATTTCTTTCTTATACTGTAGTGAAATGTATTTTTTATTATAACTACCAAATTTGAGCGCACCCATTACCCAAACCTATCTTAGAACTAAATCTCAAAACAAATTAGCAAATTAAATGACTTTCAATAACCTTAGGGTTAACCTTCAAGTGTTTGAAGAAAAATCTTTCGTTACTACTTACCAAGAGGGCATTTGTGGCTCCATAATTACTGCCTCGTACGACTCTTCGGTCATACATTATATTTTTGTATGGTTCGGCTGGTGGGTTTTCTCTGAAAGTATAGAAAATGGACAGGGATGGGGGGGGGGGGGGGGGGGGAGAAGGGCGAAACAACAAATTAGAATATTAATTACAAGTTAACACAAAATAAATATAAATTTTCCTTCTTAGCAATCTCAAGAACACACAGCGATAAAACGATGACCTTTCGTGAGGATGAAATTGCAAAAAAAAAATCTAAAAGAAAAACAATCATTTTTTTCCACGGAGGAACATTCAGTTACCGTATTTAAATGAGGTAAGGAAATTCTTTATTAGGGTGTGATTTAAAGAAATTTTATATCATCACAAAATGTTTAGCATTTAAGATTATATTTTGATTAGGCGTTTTAAGTTAAAGAAGCTGAAGCGTTATATGTTTTTGATGAAGAAACTTCTTTTTTCGTTTGTTTTATTTAAACATAAATCACTAGTGTGTAATGGCTTAATATCTAATAATGGCTTAACCCGTGGCTTAATCTTCAATTTTTCTTGGGGACAGTCTCTGTTTATTGTGGAGAGAGAGAGTCACCCACAATCTCTCTCACTTACACTAAGTTTAACATTGGGTAAATTCACTTACAAAAGGTCTCAGTTTATAGATGAGAAAGATTATGGGTGGCCCTCTCTCTCTCTCTCTCTCCAACAAATAGAGACATTCCACAAGTGAAATTGAAGATAAAGCCACACAAATTACAAATTTCATAAAATTAAAAGAAATTACAAGAAAAGAAATGTAGAATTGTATAGTAACGTATTTTTAGGAGACTTCTAAACCTCATTTTGACTTAAAACTGAAAATCTTTGCTTATGGAACATCCTAATATCGCCAATTCTCTATATATATCTATAGATGTATATTACTTTCATATATATGTACATACAGTGACTAACATTCTCACAGCAACATGTGATGGGAATATTATAGGCTGCAAGTTTAAAAAAAGAAAGGCCCTAGAAAAACACACACACACACACACAATTCCTTGGAGAAGGTTGTTGTTCAATTGAAATGAACAGAGAAAAAAAACTATTCTGAACTCACGACCTATGCAAATTTTTGTTCAACATTTTGCACTGGACTCTTTATTTTATTTTACTTTGTTTTTTTGTTGCTATTTTCAAATAGTTTCTAAAACCGGAAGTCAATACAGACATAACAGTTGTGGTGTATTTTGTACAGTTAGTGGACGCGAGGACGTTGTAATCTATGACATGTTGGATAATGATTTTTGATGTGAAGTGCACTGGAAGAAAATTGCAAAGGCATAAAGGGAAAATATGGGTATTTTTGGCACGTGTAGCCCCAATGTAATAAGCCATATCAATTCTAAGGCTTTTCAAATTAATTTACTAAAATTTTTAACGGAATGCGTGGATTTTAATGTTTTGGTTTGTCAATGGTTAAAAAAAGAAACCAATTAAATTTATTATTTAAAGTTTAGGTAACAAAGTACATATATTCTTGATCAGCATAAAATTCTAAGGCGATTTAGCTCTGCCCGTCCATCCGCTCGTCCATCAGTCTGTTGTAATCAAAGCGAGCTAAACTTTTGCAAAGATCAGACTTTTGTCTGCAGGCAGGTCAAGTTCGAAGATATCGTGGGTCGATATAGCCCACCCACGATATCCTGTAGCCACCATACAACGGTAACCCCCATATTCGGTATTTTAATGATTTTGGCCACATTTTTCAATGAAATTGTCCAAAATCCTACACAAGGAGTTCGTTCTGAGTACTTTATCCCCAGAAATGGATAGACGTACACGACATAGACGGTACCCCCGGTATTCGTTATTTCGATGATTTTTTTATCACATTTTTCAATTCAATTATCAAAAACCCCATAAAAAGAGGTTCCTTTTGAGTACTTTACCCCCTGGAAGAGAATTATGTATATAGGTCAACGTTTTAATATAGCACCCATATAACAGTATCCCAGATAATCGGTATTCCTATGATTTTAGCCACATTATTCATCAGAATAATTTCGAATTTCGTATATGAAGTTCGTAATGGGTACTACAGCCTATGACGGATAATTGTCAATGCAGGTCTAAGCATTTGTATACCCCCTTGTGTTACAAAAAATGTTTGCATGGGTGTGAAATTTGAAGAGAGTTGGATGCTGGTGTCGTTTGAGCGTTTGTTTGTCAAAATCTTGAACCCTATGTGGGGGAGGTACCAGAAGAAATGGTCCTACCATTTTTATACCCTACACCACAAGGTGGTCAGGGTATTATGTCTTTGTGCATTTGTTTGTAACAGGCAGAAGGAAACGAGATAGACCCATAGTTCCTTTTGATGATCTGCATAGAATCACATTCTGAGTCGATTTATGCATGTCCGTCCGTCCGTCCGTCCGTCCGTCTGTCCGTCCGTCCGTCTGTCCATGCATTTTTGTAAACAAAGTACAGGTCGCATTTATTGCCCGATTGAGATGAAATTTCGCACAGATCATTTGTTTGGCCCAAGGACGAACCCTATTTGGAGATAATCGGTCAAAATTTAGATATAGCTCCCATATATATCTTCGTCCGATTTGCCTTTTATTGTGCACCAAACGTGTAATATCAGCCCGAATTGTATGCAATTTTCTACGTACGATCAGATTGGACCTGAAAATATGTATGCTAAATTTGATCGAAATCGGTTCAGATATAGCTATATCTCCCATATATATTGTTCATCCGATTTGTTATTTTTGTCCACCGCCGCCATAATATGCACTCTGCAACAACAATATTTGGGAAAATATATCAAATACAGCTCAGAAATACATTTGCTAAATTTTATCGAGATCGGTTCAAATTTGGATATAGCTCCCATATATAACTTCGTCCGATTTGCCTTTTATTGTGCACCAAACGTCTAATATTTGTCCAAATGGGATGAAATTTGGCACTTACGACCGAATTGAGTCTAAATTTGGTGAAGATCGGTTCAGATATAGCTATAGCTTCCATATATATTATTCATCAACCGTAATATGCACTCCGTAACAACGATATTCAGGGAAATATATCAAATACAGCTCAGAAATATCTTTGCCAAATTTTATCGAGATCGGTTCAGATTTGGATATAGCTCCCATATATATCTTTATCCGTGCGAAATTTGAGGAGAATCGGATGCTTATTTCGCATTTTATGAGAGTTGTAATTATTTCAAATTTTGATCCTTTTTGGGGCAGTTACCAGAAGAAATGGTTCGATCTTTACCATCTTTATAACAGATTTTGTGCTGATAAAAATATTGAGATGTGCCATGGCTGAATGGAATTTAATGTTAATTTTGAATTTTTTGAGCTTTATGGGTATTGAAAATGTTGACACTTTTGTGGAGGAAGTACCAGCAGGAGTCGACCGATATATTCCATTTTCACACAAAGACCTTGGGTAAATAAAAATATTGTGATGTATGTAATTTGATGACAATCGGACTAGTACATCATATTTTATAAGAGTTATAATTATTCAACATTTTGACCCTTTGGGGGGAGGTACTGGATGTAGTGGACCGATATAGCCCATTTTCGCACCTGACGTAGAATGAATGAAAATATTAGAATTTGCAAAGTTGGAGCAAAATCGGATATTCTTTTCTCTTTCTGTGGGGTAAAATATGTTTTTAAAAATTTCGACCTTTTGTGGGAGAGTTACCAAAAGGAGTGGGCCGATATTACCTATCTCCGAACTCGGTCAAAGATTGATAATAATATTACAATGTACCAAGTTTGGACCAAATAGGATACTCCCTTCAAGAGATATTGTGCAAATCAGCCAGCCAGATAGACAGACGGACGGACATCGCTAGATCGACTCCAAATATCCTGAGATTGATTTGGTCCAAAGAGACCTACGGTCTAAAAACGTCATTTCCATGAGTCACTTTTTGGACGTATCAAATAATATTTAGCCACTCTACCCATATGGCTGAGGGTATAATTAGGGATTTTTTATTGATTTTGTCAACAACCACAAAAAAAAAACGAAATTTATATTTCTTAAAAAATTTTGTTCAAACTGGATTTTGAATATTTTTCGAAGGACTATCTGATCTATAATTCCTCTTTTCCAGAACTGCAAAAATGTAAAATTCTTTATTTTGCAGGTTCAGGGACGAAGAAAATTTGAGGATTTTCCAAAGAATTGTTTTCAAGGAGTAACTGTACTATTTTGAATTTCTTACCCAATTCTCAAGGCATTCAATGTGGATTTTTAATTTCATTTTTGCTAAAAGCTAGTCATTTATTTAAAAAAAAATTAAGTCATTATTCTGAGTTTTTTTTTATCAGGGATTATGTGAGCCATTATCCTGGAGTTTTAGAAGTTATTTCATTTTAAGCGCAATCATTGGAGTTTTAGAAGTTATTTCATTTTAAGCGCAATCTTTCTTTGAAGAATATCAGACATATATTCATGGCTTCTTAATAAGTATTAATGTTCGGTCAGGAAGTGCCTATATTTTATTAGTACATAGCTTGTCAAGGCTCCCTCGAAAATCTAAAATTTTGCAGATTTTTGTGTAGCTCAATCGAAGTCAATGTGTTAGGTCCTAGTACTACTTTTGTATAACTTTTTCGAAAAAAGTAGCATACCAATATTCAAATTCAAGCTCTATTTAAAATTAGAACACAGAATTAACCCCACCATTTTAAATCAATAATGACTACTTGAGGACACATCTCTTATCTCAATATCAATGTACTGTACCGTATAGTAACTTTTAGTACTAATTGTACCATTTTAGTCTCCCACCAACACAAAAATAATTTTTCTCCACAATTTTATTTAAACATTTCCATCCTCCCTCATCTGGCAATTTTTTTCCTGCAGTGTAATCCAAATGGCTAGTTTTTTTGCAAATGAAAAATTCAACATTTCCTTTTTGGCTAAAACTGAAGTGTAAATTGCGAAAACCTTGCATTAGTTTAACGTCAAGTTTCCTACAACTTGGCAGTTGTACATTTTCTTTTGTTCATTTTCAACAGAAAACCTCAACAAACACCACCCAACGAAAAGAGAACAAAATTAAAGTCAAAAAAAATGGTTAAGACTTATTACGGATTAGCAGGACATTCACCTATACCCTAGGGCAATGGCAAACACACACACACACATACACTCTCACACACAGACAACCAAAAATATCATATCAAGTGAATAATTTTATTTTATTAGTCATGTCAAATGAGGGAAATGTTTGACTTTTGTTTAACAAAACTCGGCCATTGGTTATTTGGAGATTTTGTCGACAATACTTTTGGGGGTTTTACGTCTGACTTCTATGCGCTATGGAATTTCCGTGATTGACGCATATGACACAAATCTACATACATGATAACTTCCTACTCTCACATGTGCCCATGGAAGATAGGAAAGCTCCGCTATGTCTATTAACAAAACTGAAAGTGAGCAGGGACTGAGTATTGTCCTGATTTCCCAAATTGTCATCATCATCACGGTTGTTATTATTGTTGTTGTTCATTTGAATTTAGGACACCGAAGTAATGATTTGAAAACAAAATAATTACATGTTTTTAATATTTTATTAACCTATATTTTGTAAAATTGTTGTAGGGAGTCATTGGTTGGTTGGTTGGTTGTAGGGATTGGTGCGATGGAAGCACGCATAACCTTTAAATATTAATGTGGAGCTCATCCTTTGACATGCATGGTCCCCATACAGCTCAATTATTTATTTTGAATTTCTACAATTGTAGATCCATTTCAGATAAGAATTAAAAAGTGGAAAGTTTGAATTGGATGGGATTTCATTGCGTACATACATATGAATGTGAAGGCCTCAATTAAGACCAGAAGAGCTTAAGGTCTTCTCATAGAAGAGCTTAAGGTCTTCTCATAGAAGAGCTTAAGGTCTTCTCATAGAAGAGCTTAAGGTCTTCTCATAGAAGAGCTTAAGGTCTTCTCATAGAAGAGCTTAAGGTCTTCTCATAGAAGAGCCTAAGGTCTTCTCATAGAAGAGCTTAAGGTCTTCTCATAGAAGAGCTTAAGGTCTTCTCATAGAAGAGCTTAAGGTCTTCTCATAGAAGAGCTTAAGGTCTTCTCATAGAAGAGCTTAAGGTCTTCTCATAGAAGAGCTTAAGGTCTTCTCATAGAAGAGCTTAAGGTCTTCTCATAGAAGAGCTTAAGGTCTTCTCATAGAAGAGCTTAAGGTCTTCTCATAGAAGAGCTTAAGGTCTTCTCATAGAAGAGCTTAAGGTCTTCTCATAGAAGAGCTTAAGGTCTTCTCATAGAAGAGCTTAAGGTCTTCTCATAGAAGAGCTTAAGGTCTTCTCATAGAAGAGCTTAAGGTCTTCCCATTGAAGAGCTTAAGGTCTTCTCATAGAAGAGTTTAAGGTCTTCTCATAGAAGACCAGAAGGTCTTCTCATAGAAGAAGACCAGAAGGTCTTCTCATAGAAGACCAGAAGGTCTTCTCATAGAAGACCAGAAGGTCTTCTCATAGAAGACCAGAAGGTCTTCTCATAGAAGACCAAAAGGTCTTCTCATAGAAGACCAGAAGGTCTTCTCATAGAAGAGCTTAAGGTCTTCTCATAGAAGAGCTTAAGGTCTTCTCATAGAAGAGCTTAAGGTCTTCTCATAGAAGAGCTTAAGGTCTTCTCATAGAAGAGCTTAAGGTCTTCTCATAGAAGAGCTTAAGGTCTTCTCATAGAAGAGCTTAAAGTCTTCTCATAGAAGAGCTTAAGGTCTTCTCATAGAAGAGCTTAAGGTCTTCTCATAGAAGAGCTTAAGGTCTTCTCATAGAAGAGCTTAAGGTCTTCTCATAGAAGAGCTTAAGGTCTTCTCATAGAAGAGCTTAAGGTCTTCTCATAGAAGAGCTTAAGGTCTTCTCATAGAAGAGCTTAAGGTCTTCTCATAGAAGAGCTTAGGGTCTTCTCATAGAAGACCAGAAGGTCTTCTCATAGAAGACCAGAAGGTCTTCTCATAGAAGACCAGAAGATCTTCTCATAGAAGAGTTTAAGGTCTTCTCATAGAAGAGTTTAAGGTCTTCTCATAGAAGAGCTTAAGGTCTTCTCATAGAAGAGCTTAAGGCCTTCTCATAGAAGAGCTTAAGGTCTTCTCATAGAAGAGCTTAAGGTCTTCTCATAGAAGAGCTTAAGGTCTTCTCATAGAAGAGCTTAAGGTCTTCTCATAGAAGAGCTTAAGGTCTTCTCATAGAAGAGCTTAAGGTCTTCTCATAGAAGAGCTTAAGGTCTTCTCATAGAAGAGCTTAAGGTCTTCTCATAGAAGAGCTTAAGGTCTTCTCATAGAAGAGCTTAAGAAAACCTGAAAGGTCTTCTCATAGAAAACCTGGAAGGTCTTCTCATAGAAAACCTGGAAGGTCTTCTCATAGAAAACCTGGAAGGTCTTCTCATAGAAGACCTGGAAGGTCTTCTCATAGAAAACCTGGAAGGTCTTCTCATAGAAAACCTGGAAGGTCTTCTCATAGAAAACCTGGAAGGTCTTCTCATAGAAAACCTGGAAGGTCTTCTCATAGAAAACCTGGAAGGTCTTCTCATAGAAACCTGGAAGGTCTTCTCATAGAAAACCTGGAAGGTCTTCTCATAGAAAACCTGGAAGGTCTTCTCATAGAAAACCTGGAAGGGGTTCTCATAGAAAACCTGGTAGGTCTTCTCATAGAAAACCTGGAAGGTCTTCTCATAGAAAACCTAGAAGGTCTTCTCATAGAAAACCTGGAAGGTCTTCTCATAGAAAACCTGGAAGGTCTTCTCATAGAAAACCTGGAAGGTCTTCTCATAGAAGACCGAAGGGTCTTCTCATAGAAGACCCTTTTCATCCCCAAGAAGAAAAGAGAGTCTTCTCAGTTGGTCTTTTCATATGAGAGCGGTTGGGTCTCTAAACTTTATCATAAAATCAAAACCTTTAAGTACTCATAAGAAAAACGTCCTACATCCTTCAAATATCCTAACTCGTTTTGACTTAAAATATTTCGCATTTAAAAACTGAACGACACACATAAAATTCAAGAAAGAAACAATGTTACCTTTTCGAACGACTGAGCTCGAGTTGTTGTTGGAATTGTTGTTTGCTAATACTTATGCCACCCAAGGGGGGTGATATAGCGTTACCCGTCGCCAAAGAGGATGCATACGTTGGCCCCCTGACACCGTTTATACGTAAAGAAGTTTTCGACGAATCCTTATCAGAATTGGCGATCGAAACTCCAACAATGCCGCTACCACCTCCCTTCCCGCCATCGCTTGCACCCCCACGTGGGGGATTTGTGGAGCCTGCCGTAAAAGTGTTGGAGTATTTGTCCTTGGCCATTGTTATCGAAGAGTTTCGGTTTGTGTAGTGTTGGTGTTGTTGTTGTTGTTGCTGTGGTTTCTCTTGGCTATTTTGGCTTCTGATTATTATTTTGTGGATAATTTGCGTTTGGTCAGGATAGGGCAGCCGACTGAAGTGATGTTGGTGTTGGTAGTACAGAGACGACGTTGGCTCATTGCCCCGATAGACGACCGGATGTGAGGAGTACGCATACAGTTGCCGTTTACGTGTCGGCGAAAGGAGCGCAACTTCTTTTGGCGGTGGTAGGAAAATGCCACGCGGCACAGTGGTAATGAAAAGCGGTCGCTGGTTAAGTGTTTCTTGATTGCTGCCCTGAAAGTCGAAGAAGTCAAACGGAGACGCAAAAGAAAACCAAAAAAATAGTGGAAAATACAAAAAACGAAAGGAAAATAAATAAAATATGAAGGAACTTGAGGTTAAATGAATTGGGTTCTCCAAATAAAGAACTGATGATACATGGGGAGTTTATTTGAGTTTTGGTTGAATTTTCCGGAGACTGGGGAGTTTAATTAGGAAATGCCAACAGTTATGGAAAGGCCAACTGATAGGTTAATTGTCCAAACGCGCAATTAGTAAATTTATTTGCTAAAGGGTTTGCAGGGGTAGAGTGTTGCCTGCGGAGTCTGAGTGATTGATATTCAATGAATCTATTTGAAGCTAATTGCTGGAAGAGTATAGGAGAAACGAGTGTTATGAGGTGACATTTTAAAAAAAGGTTCTTAAAATATTTATGGGGTAGATATTGGATGCACTAGGGTTTGGTTGCTAGATCGGCCACTCCTTTTTTAATTTCGTCATAAAAAGTCAATATTTTCAATATAAAAAATGAATCTCAATTTTTCTTAAAGCCTGTCAAACAAAATATTCGTAGTCTAGTGTAAAGATGGGATGCAAGGTGAAGTTTTTCACTTTGTTTCTTCTCCAAAGTTTGAAAAATGTATTTCTTCCAAAAAAGGTATTAGACACTGATGTTGCCAAATTTCTAACATTCCAATATGTCATCCTTCCGGTATATCCCTTAAAATTTGTGAAAATATTAGAAAACACCGTATCCCACATTAGGTCAAGGTCAATTTTGAAAATGAAAAATTATAAATATCTGGGATTTTTTTTTAATGTTTTTCATGGAACAAAAACCCGTCCTTTTGAAATATCATAAAACTTTTTTAAGAATTTGATTTTTTTTTTTGATTTTCTGATTTGATTTTGATTTTCTGCGACTTTTTTAGTACTTCATGCTCAAAAGTTTTGAATTTTGTAAGACCATAGTGCGTCTGATTTTTTTTCTGAAGACTTTTTTAAAATATTTCTTCAGGGACCTCTTGGATAAAATTGTGATTTATGTAAGAAATGTTTACTTTTTTTCTGACAAAAAATTCCCAGATTTAAAAAAAGTTTTTAGAGATCTCCTTTTCAAAAACCGTGTACATTGAAGAAAAATATTCAAGGACTTCCTGATAAAAATCGTGTATTTTTAAGAACATTTTTTTCAGGGTCCGCTTGCCAAAATTTGTAATCTTTATAAGATTTTTAACCAAAAATCGTGGTTTTAAAATATAACATTTTTAGGGGCCCAATGATCAATTTTTAAGGACCCCAAGCCCAACATAACGGACTTCTTCTATGAAAAAATTCGCGATAATTTGAGGAGTATTTTCAAGGACTTTATGCCAAAAATTCTAATTTTTATGAAGACTTTTAAAAAATATTTCTTCAAGAACTTAACAACTTTCTGACAAAAAAAAAACTCGTTATTTTTTACAAAAGTTTTTAGAGATCTTCAAAAACCGTGTATATTTAAGATAAATATTCATGTTCTTCCTGACAAAAAAAAATTTAAGAAAAATTTTTCATTTTGCCAAAATTTGGTGAAATTCATAAATTTAGAGGATCTCCTGACCAATAATCGTGAATTAAAAAAATAAAATTTTAAAGGCCCTCTGACGGACTTTTTTTTATGAAAAATTCGCGATAATTTTAAGAATATTTTCAAGGACTTGATGCTCAATATACTTGGTTTTAATATAAAACATTATGAGTATGAAATCGTATTGTTCAAGGAATTCCAGGCTATATAAATCGGCGATCTTTTAAAAATATTTCTCAATGGATTATGTAGACATATTGTTAAAGGACTTTCTGGCCAAACATTTTGAATTTTTCAAAAAAAAAAAATGTTCAAGTGTTCGTGGATTTTTAAGAAAGATATTTTTCAAGGAGCCAATGGGCAAAAATCTTGGATTTTTAAGAATCAAATTTTAAGGATCTTTCTAATACCAAGGAACAATTTTTGAAGGACTCCAAGACCAAAATTGGTAAATTTTGAAGATTTTTTTTCAATAAATAGTTTAGTTTTTGTTAGAAAAATTTCCAATGCCAAGGATTTTTAGGAAAAAAAATTTCCAATGCCACGGATTTTTAGGAAAAAATTGTGTCGTTTTGAAAAATAATCGTTGATTTTTTAGGAAATCAATTTCAAAGTTGTCCTGATCTAAAATCTGGTATTTTTTTGAAATTAATTTTATGGACTTCTATCCAATAACATGAATTTATTTTCTATTTTCTAGGATATTCGGACCAAAAATCGCCAATTTGAAAAGAAAAAAATACAACAACATTTACAGGGACACTCTTGTTAAAAATCATAGACTTAAAAAATTGTAAGGATCAACATTTTTTGATTTATTAGGGAACAAATTACAAGGACCATTTGAAAATTCAAGGAAAAGGACCTACCACCTACCATCCAAAGTCCATTTAATCGTGTTTTTTAATAAAAAATCGTGGAATTTTGATAATTGATTTCAAGGACATCCTGAAAAATATTAATTTATCGAAACATTTTTTCTAGGATCTTCGGGCCAAAAATCGTGGATTTGAAAGGAAAAAAAATTACAGGGACCTTTTGCTTAAAAATCTTAGATTTTATTAAGAAACAAATTACAAGGACTTTCTGACCAAAAATCACAGTTTTTATGACAAAAAATTCAAGGACTTAAGAAAAAATCGTGGAGCTTTGAGAAATATATTCCAAGGACATCCTGGAAGACATTAATGTATTTATATTTATTTCTTAAAGTCTACCGACCAAAAAACATGGTTTTGAAAAGAAAAAAGACATCGGGACAAAATTTATAGGGACCTTCTGGTTAAAAACCTTAGATTAAAATAAATTTTAAAGATCCAAAATCTTGCATTGATTAAGGAACGAATTTCAATGACTTTTGAACATGACATTTTTTTTTGAAAAGTCAATCTGACCACGAATCGAAGACTTTTAAGAAAATTTTCGAAGAACCTCTTGATCAAAAATCGTGAATGTTCAGGAACTTTCAAACAAAAATGTTGAATTTTTTATGAGAAAATTGTCAAGCATCTACTGATCATGAATCGTAGATTGTGTTTAAGAAAACATAACAAAAGACTTGGACTTTTTTTAGAAGGAAATTTACAAGTATCTTATAAAAAATAGGAAAAAAATGAAAATCATGGACCAAATATCTTGAATTTATAAAAAAAAAAACATTATTTCGGAAACCTCCGAACCGAAAATTGTGGGTTTAAGAAAAAAAAGAACCTGCATGTTTAATAATAATAGCTTCAAGGACAATTACTGAACAAGAAGTCTTAAGTTTACCTTCATGACAAAAAATGGTGGATTTTATAAAGAAAAATTGAAGGACCAGGAATCCTAAAATTTAAAAAACTAGTGATTAATTAATCTAATGACTTTCCGAATAAAAATTGTTGATTTCAAAAAAAAAAAAAAAAAAACACAAGGATCGAAACTAGTTGATTTTGAGAGTCTCCTGACCACATTCATGAAAAAAAATAAGGACCAAAAATCCTGAACTTTCTAACAAAAAAAAAAAAAATCATAGATTATTTAAAAAAATGTTAAAGCTGAAAGATCGCTAACAAAAATCAAAAATCGTTTGTTTAAAGCGGAAGTATTGAAGGACCAAAATCGTGAGTGTTAAAAAATCAAATGTCAAAAATTAGGTAACCCAAATCGTGGATTTTGAATAAAAAATATTCAAGGACCTTCTTGTGAAAAAGTAGATTTTTTTAAGAAATTCGGGTAAAAGATCTTAGATTTCACAAAAAAAAAAAAATCGGGACCAAAATAGTCAAGACCAAAATAAGTGGAATTTGAAGAAAAATTAAGGACCAAAAAACTTTAATTTTTAAATCAATCCAAGATTATTAAGGCAAAAATTTCAAGGACCAAAAACAAGGAAACAATTTCGAAATTAAAATTGTGAATATTCTTATAAAAAATCGTAGATTCATCAAAATTTTTTCGGGGCCAAAATAATAGTTTTTTGAATAATAATTTCAAGTACCAAAAACTGTGTATTTTTAAAAAACTTAAGGACCATTTTTTTTAAATAAATCCACTATTTTTTAGACACAAATGTTAGAATTTGAATATTTTGACCTCTGGTGGTCAGCTATTTATACCCTCCACCATTCGGAAGGAACTTGACAATTAAAAAAATCCATTGAAAAACACCGCTCAAAAGAAAACCTTTACATGGGAGCTAAACGATATGGGACTATCGATTCCGAACTTCAAATAAGAAATTTGAAACAATTCCGGAGAATAATGTCGTTAATATCATCAAAATGCCGAATGAAGGGAGGTACCGTTGTTTGGGGGCTATACAAAGACGTGAACCTGCATAGACAATTTTCCGTCATAGGTACTACTATTACGAACTTCAAATACGAATACGAAAATATTCTAATGGATTTTTATACCCTCCACCATACATAGTATGGAGGGTATATTGAGTTCGTCATTCCGTTTGTAACTCATCGAAATAATAATTTTAGACCCACCAAAGTATATATATTTTTGATCAGCGTAAAATTCTAAGACGATTTAACCCAGTACGTCCGACCGTCTGTTGTAATCACGCTACAGTCAAAACGGATTAAGATAGGGAGCTAAAATTTTGCACAGATCTGTCTTTTGTCTGCAGGCAGTTCAAGTTCGAAGATGGGCGATATCGGTCCACGATATCGATTATCCGCCATATAACGGCACCTCCCGATATTCGGCATTTGATGATTTTAGCCACATTTTTCAATGAAATTGCCTGAAAATCCACACAAGAAGTTCCTTGTGAGTACTTTATCCCCTGAAAGAGAATTGTCTATATAAGTAAACAATATCGTATAGCTCCCATATAACTTTACCCCCTATATTCGGTATTATGATAATTTTAGCCGCATTTTTCAACGGAATTGTCTGAAAATTCACACAAGGAGTTCCTTGTGAGTATTTTATACCCTAACAGAGAATTGTCTATATAGGTCCACGACATCGTATATAACGGCACATCCCGATATTCCGTATTTTTTGCGATGTTATTTTTGAGATTTATTCACCTGAATTGTTTCAAATGTCGTATATAAAGTTCGGAACAGTTACTACAGCCCATGGCACAAATTACTTATGCAGGACCACCTCTTCGTATAGCCCCTATATAACGGTTTTCATTTGAGCGGTATTTTCCGATGGATTTTTTTGTAATCTTTCAAGTTTCTTCCGAATGGTGGAGGGTATGAAAAGTTCGACATGGCCGATCTTAGGTGCTTTTTTACTTGTTAATACTAAATAGTTTTCTTGGGGTTGACAAAACCGAAAGCCTGTCTTTTTCTCTCGGCTACGTATGCCTATGATGCTCCCTTTGAATTTGTATCTTAATCTTAATCAATTTCGATACTTCGGCGAATCAGTAAAATGGATTTCGGTCAAAAAAGCTCTAAAAACAGTTTTTTGACGGACATTATAAATTTTTTTGAAAAGCTATTTTGAAAAATTGAAGCGTGTCTATGTCAATTTTATTAAAGAAGGCTTAACATCGGCCAAAAATAATCCTCCTTCAATCAAAAACTACCTATGTTGGCAGATTTAATAACATTTTGACAAATCAAATTAAATATTTTAATGGATCTGAAAACATATCCTCGTTGACATTTCCATAAATTTCGAACTCCATAGCATTTCTCCGCAAAACTCTCCCCAAACCAAAAATTTGAAATATTAATTCAGAGAATTTTCAAAACCTACATTTTGTGAAGAGTTCTTAAACCTCGACAAGCTAAGATCCCGATTGCCAGCAATGCTCGAATCCAATGAGCTCAGCTTACGCTTTAGCTCCTCGGCAAACTTTTGTACATCACGACTGTAGGCCGGTTGGGTTATCGACAGTCCAGCATTCGTCGAATAACCATTGATCCTGAGATCACGGCCAAGTAGATTTGCATTTTTCGGCAATGCCGTTTCCTCGGAACGTCGTATGGGGTGCACTATGGCGTTCGGTTTGTTGGCGAGGTACGATGAAGATGAAGTGTAGTCGTTATTTAGAACGGTGAAAGCCGATAGTGATGATGTAGAGGGTAAATTTGGATCGTAGTAATATGGTGCGGAAGCCGGGGGTGCTGCAAACGATGAGGTGAAGTGACGAGAGGGTGTATAATCCGAGGCGAAAGAAAATTTAGGTCTGGTTGCTCCTTGGTTAGATGTCGTGGGTTCCTCTTCTGCAATGGATTCTTTTTCTGGGGGTTTTTGGGAATTGTCGTTGGAGGGATTTGAATTGCTGCTGCTGTTGTTGTTGCTGGTTGTGTGCTCAGGGTTGGAAGGGAAGTGCTGTGGATTTTCGTTTTCCTTATTAAAGTCCACGTTTTGCATTATTCGTTAATTTTGTTTTTTATATTTTCGTTATTGAATTTATTATTTGAATAGAACATTTTGTTGTAGATTTAAACCGATAAGGGCTTCCATTTTATGCGCTCACACAAACGAACAAACAAATGGCTATAAAGGAACAGAGAGAAAATTCGGTATAACTGCGATAATCGATATTGAAAATGTGGTAGGAAAAGCCGGGTCGCACTATTTCCGTTTTTCGAATGCGAAACCGCCGCGAGTGTTGTTCAACGGTCAACTCTTTGTCACGAAATGACCAAAACACATGCTCTCACAGCAAACGCGATACCAGACAAGTTGTGTGGCTAACTTTAGTTAGCGTGTTGAAGCTAAGCTAACGAATGACATGGAAAAAGGACAAGAACAAAAAAAAAAAAATGCCGATGGTCAATACAACAGAAAATCAAACACACACACTTAAAACAACACAAAAATAGAGAGACATGGGAAAGGGCTACTCGGCACATGTCGTTGAGTCCTTTCGTCTTCCAGTCCCTCTTTCCAAGTTTTGGAGCACAAACTAACCTCAAGTTAGTAGTAAAATATTGAAATGTAAGGAGACCCCCATCATAGATTGGCCGGTATTTGAAATTGCGCAGGAATTCCAAGTAAGAAGCTAAAAACATGAAAACAGCTGTTTGGAGTCGTACCTCTCACCGGGGTTCCATATTCTAAATGAAATGGCTAAATTATGATTATGCCTTAATGCGATTAGAGCGAAAACCGCATTACTAGAATTATCGAAGTCAGATGGTGGGGCGAGAGAAAGAGTGAAAATGCAAGAGTATGTGCGAGAGAGAATGAGAATCTCAATTGTGAGAAGAGCACAAGAGAGTGAGAGCCAAAATTAAAGCATATGACTGGAACTTAATTATGATTCGCTATTTTTTTTCTAATTAATCTCTATTAAAAATGAATGTTTCTGAAAAATGAAAGTACAGTAATAACACGATATTATGAATCGAGGAAGCAGGACAGAATGGACAGCTTCCTGGATTGTGGAATTACTGTGAACTCCCCAATTGTGGATAAAATAATCCACATTTGCGGATGAAATTATCCACTGTAGGGGAAAATATTAACCAAGTTTGTGGATAAAATTTTATATGTTTGTAAATAAACTCATCCACGTATGTGGATCAATTTATCCACATTTATGGATAAAATTATTCTAAAAAAAAATTATCTATTTTTTTGGATAAATTATAAATTTTCTGGATAATTATGGATAAACATCCCCAAACGTGGATAATTTTATCAACGTTTGTGGATAAAAATATCCAAGTTTTTGGATAAACTTATCCATATTTGTGGATAAAGTTATCCAAGATTGTGGATAAAATTATCCACGTTTGTGGATAAAATTTTCAAAGTTTGTTGATAAAATTATCAACGTTTGTGGATAAAATTACCCAAGTTTGTGTATAAAATTATCCAGAGTTGTGTAAAATTATCCACGTTTATGGATAAAATTATCCACGTCTGTGGATAAATTTATTCACGTTTGCAGATCAAGTTATCCACGTTTGTGGAAAAAACTATCCACGTCTAGGGATAAAATTATCCACGTTTGTGGACAAAATTATCTACGTTTGTGGATAAAATTACCCACGTTTTTGAAAAAAAAATATCCACTACAGCAGATAAAATTATCGACACGGTGAGATGAAAAAACTGCAACCAACTTCAGAATGCTGTCATTTCTCGTCCGACAGCTGTTAAAATTATTCCAGTGACAGCTCATTATATGGTTTACCATCGTATAAAAGCATTTTGATGATAATTTTCCAGAAAAAAAAGTATTCGTAATGGAATTCAAGCGTGATAGTGTGATTTCTTTATATTTGGCTGGAGAACCACAAGTTGCTATCGTTAGAGCACTCCTGCATTTAAATGTGAATAAATTTTTTGTGTCATGTACCATCGCTTTTTATCGTGATACTGGTAGCGTAGCCCGACGACTTGATCGAAATCCGCGTCGCAGTGGCCGAAAAATGGCTCGTGAGCTGAACATATCGCAATATTCCATTCGGTAAATATTGAGAAATGAGCTCGAGGTAAAGTCATCAAGAAGGGCAATAACTTACACCGTAACAGAAAGAAAATAGACTCAAAGAGTTGCTTCGCTTGGCCTTCGTCTTCGATGAGAAAACATTCGTTGTCCAGCAGTTTGTAAACAAACAAAATGATCGTGTTTACTTGCCAAAGAGGTCAGCTGAAAATGTGCACCTTCGGTTGGCCACAAGAACTCAAGCGCCGGCCATGGTGATGGTGTGGGCCGCCATAACAGCCGATGGTCGCTCTCCGCTCGTATTAATTGACCGTGGCATCAGAATAAATGCCCAATATTATAGCGAAAATATTCGGGAGGGTGTATTAAAGCCTTGGGCACGCAAACACTTTGGCTGCCGACCTTGGACATTCCAACAGGACTCAGCACCATCGCACTCAGCACGCGCCACCCAAGAATGGTTACAAAATGAGGTTCATTTCCAGCGCACAATGGCCACCAAAATCTCCGGATACCAATCCGTTGGACTATTGTGTCTGGAGTATTTTGGGAAAGCAAGGTTGGCACTAAAAAATACCAAAGTGTCAATCACCTCAAGCAAGTGCTTCGCCGGGAATGGTCCAAAATACCGCAGAGCAACATTCGGGTAGCGTGTGAGGCTTTCATTGGCCGTTTGAAGGTCATAATTCGTGCCAAAGGTGACCAATTCGAACAAAACTAAACTTATTCTAAAATGTGATGCTATTTCCGATATTTTTTTTATTCAATAAAATTTTAAAAAAATTAAAAATTATGGCGTTTGACTTTGTTGCAGTTTTTATACCCTCCACCATTCTATGAAGGATATATTAACTTTGTCATGCCGTTTGTAACTCCTCGAAATACTCATGTCAGACCCAACAAAGTATATATATTCTTGATCAGCGTAAAATTCTAAGACGATCTAGCGATGTATATCTGTATGTTCGTCTGTTGTAATCACTCTATCTTTCGAACGACTTGAGATAGAAGGCTAAAATGTTGGATACATGCATAGTTTACCAGTAGGCGGGTAAGTTCGTAAACGGGCCATGTCGATCTACGTTTTCGTATATCCCCCATGTAACGGTACCCCCCGATATTGAGTATTCTCATGATTTTAGCGAAATTATTCACCGGAATCGTTTCAAATTTCGTACTGGAAGATTCTAATGGGTACTAACACCTATGGCAAAAAATTGTGTATGCAGGTTCAGAGCTTCGTATAGTCCCCATATAACGGTACCTCCCGATATTCGGTATTTTCATGATTTTAGAGACATTATTTACCGGAATTATTTAAAATTTCGTATTTGAAGTTCGTAATAGGTACTACAGCCTGCAACGAAAATTTTTGTATGCCGGCCTAAGTCTTCGCATAGCCCCCATGTAACGCTACCTCCCTATATTCGGTATTTTGATGATTTTAGCGACATTATTCACCGGAATTGTTTCAAATGTAACATTTGAAGTTCGAAATGGATACTACAGCCTAAGGCAGAAAAATTTTATATGCAGGTCCACGTCTTCGTATAGCCCCCATATAACGGTGCCTCCCGATATTCGGTATTTTTACGATTTCAGCAACACTATTCTACCGGAATCGTTTCAAATTTAATATTTGAAGTTCATAATGGATACTACAGCCTATGACATAAAATTGTCTGTGCAGGTCCACGTCTTCGTATAGCCCCCATATAACGGGACCTCCCAATATTCGGTATTTTGATGATTTTTAGAGACATTATTCACCGGAATGGTTTGAAATTTGGTATTTGATGTTCGTAATGGGAACTACAGTCAGTGACAGAAAATTGTCTATGCATGACCACGTCTTCGTATAGCCCCCATATAACGGGACCTCCCAATATTCGGTATTTTGATGATTTCAGCGACATTATTTACTGGAACTATTTCAAATTTGGTATTTGAAGTTTGTAATGAATACTACAGCCTATGACAGAAACTTGTCCCTGCAGGTCCACGTCTTCGTATAGCCCCCATATAACGGTAACCCCCAATATTCGGTATTTTGATGTTTTTAGCGACATTATTCACCGGAATTATTTCGAATTTCGTATTTGAAGCTCGTAATGGGTACTAACAACTTATGGCAAAAAATTTCGTATGCAGGTCCACGTCTTCGTATAGCCTCCATATGACGGTACCTCTCGATACTCCATATTTTCATGAATTTTGCGACATTATTTACCGGAATTATTTCGAATTTCGTATTTGAAGTTCGTAATGGGTACTACAGCCTATGACAAAAAATTTCGTATGCAGGTCCACGTCTTAGTATAGCCCTTCGAAATGGTGGAGGGTATTAAAAGTTCGGCCCGGCCGAACTTAGCTGCTTTTATACTCTCACCCTGTATATAAAACCGTACATGGTTGGGGCTACATAATAAAATTTGTTTGTGTTAAGTATACGCTGAGATGTCCGAATGGCTTACAGGGAATTGTTAATGAAATGACCTGGTGTATTGGTGGAACAACATAGACATACAATTCCCCGAAGCCACTACTAAATGGAACTTCACTTTGATTTCCCAAAAAAAAGCAAGTCGTAAATGTAACGTATGTGGTCATTGCCGCCATTGTCCCCATCGCTGGCGGGGTTACTATATTTAGTTGTGACCATAAAAAGTTTTGATTTACTCCAACTGAGACTTGTTTATGCAAATTATTGACCAAATGAAATAAATAATAAGCAGGGGTACACATTCATTGCTAGGTCGTTGTTTTTTTTTTTTTTTTTTTTTTTTTTTTTTTGGAATCAATGCGGAGAGGCAAAAAAAACGAGCCAATGGACTTCCTGTAACCCATGGTCATAATACGTTCAGTAGGAAAAGAAGAGAATAAAAAAAACACCACACATACAAAAGGAATGATGTTTATTTTCAATGTCAGTGACATAATTGCTGTGGTTTTTTTCTTTTTTTGTTGTTGTTGTTTGGTTTGATGAATGGTCACTCATTTGGCATTGGCTTCGTAATTGACAGTTCTTGGACAGGTTTTATTGCTTCCGTTTCTTTTAAAAAGGATTTGTGTTTTTTTTGGTGGTCTAAATTTCGAGTGAAGTTCAAGTGGCCATTAAAGTGGGACCTAGTCACCTACATGTGTGGGCAATTAAATATGTGGATGTGTATGTGTAAATACCTACACATATATATGTATGAGTGTAGAATTGTTGTATAATTTAATTCGAAGTATACTTTTTTAAATGCCTTTTGCC